CAATCTGTCTCTATAGAAGGAAGGATGGTACCTTTAGTCCCTGATGTCGAGCATTTTCCTAGTTATGTAGCACAAAGTGGGGAGCCCAGCATCAGTGGGGAGCCTGAAGGCAATGAAGACTCTTCCCTAGCACCTCTGGAGAGTCAGCCGATCACCTTCACACCAGAAGAGATGGAGAAATATAGCAAGCTTCAACAAGCAGCTCAGCAGCATATTCAGCAACAGCTTCTTGCCAAGCAGGTCAAGACCTTTCCAGCCTCAGCTGCCCTAGCTCCTGCCACAGCCCCTGCCTTGCAGCCCATTCATATCCAACAACCTACGGCAGCTGCAGCCACTTCCATTACCACTGTGCAGCATGCCATCCTGCAGCATCATGCAGCTGCAGCAGCAGCAGCCATAGGAATCCACCCTCACCCACATCCTCAGCCTCTTGCTCAAGTACATCACATTCCCCAGCCCCATTTGACGCCTATATCATTATCCCACTTAACTCATTCAATCATCCCAGGGCACCCTGCTACATTCCTGGCCAGCCATCCCATCCATATCATCCCTGCTTCTGCCATCCACCCAGGTCCTTTCACTTTTCATCCTGTCCCGCATGCTGCCCTCTACCCAACTCTCTTAGCTCCTCGACCAGCAACCGCTGCTGCCACAGCATTACATCTCCATCCCCTTCTGCACCCCATTTTCTCAGGGCAGGATTTGCAGCATCCTCCTAGTCACGGCACATGAAGAAGTGAGAAAGATGTGGCCTCTTTTGGGGAAAAGATAAGGGCATATATATCTGTGTGCATTGGTGTTTTGTACAGACTGTCTGAAGGCCATGACTGACACCACCTGAGAATAGTGAAATGGGAGAACTAGGTGTGGAAATGGGAAGTGAATGTAACATATCCATGCAAAAGGGGGAAATGTTGCTGGAGTTCTGCTTGTCAGTATTTTCAGGGTCCTCTGCACCCAGAGAGTTAACTTATTCACATCTATATGAATGTGAAGTTCTTTAGCAGTTATGCCCCTCTTAATTACTAATGCTTGTGTTTTTAAATCATTTCCTCTCCACCCTGAAATTCTGAGTGAATAATATCTAAATTATTTGCCTTCCTTATTTGCTATTTATTTGAGTTCACTTTAAAGCTTAAGCAAAAGAGTCAAGATATAGTCAACATCCAACCCATTCCTCAGTTCCTACCCAACCAAGAACCATTTTCAACAACCTGCTGATTATTACAAACAACAAGCTTTCTTCTCAAGCAAGCCTGGCCCTGCTATCCTCCCTGTGCCACTGCCACAAGGGAAAGGAACAGAAAATAATTCCTTTATCAGTCTTTGAAGCAATATGTTGTACTGGAATCTTGGGAACATCCAGAATATGATTTGTATTCTGTCCTCTGTAATATTTGATGGCTCCTTATTAACTTATGATTTTTTTTTCAGAAGAGAAAAGGTTTTTAAAAATTGCACTGAACTCTGTACATGTCAATGCTGCTTTTTGTAGCTCTTCTGACAAATGTTCCATAATGATACTATACGGCAATAACATTTTTATAGCTTGCTCTCTGAGTGGTACTTGTTCAGGTTGTTTGGGTTATCTATACATTTTGATGTAGTTGCAAAGAAAGCTTGCAACAAAGGTTCAGAGCTTGTTGTGGCAAAGGCATAAGAAGACTCCAAGCATGTGTATTCAAGCTTAGTTTTGTTTTCTTGGGTGCCATGGAAAGGGAAAAAATAGTTACTTTTTACAAGAGAAAATTTGGAATAAAGTAAGGAGCAGTGATACAACCCTTTTTGTACCATAGCTAATGAATTTCAGCGACTATAGTGACATACCTTGGAAGATCTGTGAAGCCTATGTGATACTTTGATCTTTACTGCATTTTCTTGTCAGGAGCCAGGCTGCTATTTGGAAAGAAGTAGCCCATTGGATGGGCAGAAAAGAAAGTCCAAATGACTTTCCAATCAGAAGAAAATCTCAAAAGGCTAATAATTTTTCTTGGGACCTACGTCTTTGCAGCAACAAAGTTTCAATATAGAGGTGTGTGACTGTGTGTGTGTGGTTTTGTGTGTGTATCTATGCACGCACACTTGTGTTTATGTTAAGGCTATTGTTTAAACGTGTGCCTTTACTGTATATGCTTTGGAAAGATTCTGAGTGGTGTGTTTTTATTTGGATTCCTTCCAAATGAAGTGATAAGTAAGTTACCTGATTTCACAGCTGTCCCTTTTAAAGGAGAGAATGTCTGCCTTAGGAAAGACAGACTAATTTTGTTACATTTAATTCTTTCACTTAATTTCTTCATCTCTGGTGGGGAAAAGAAGGCAAGAAAAGAATGAGCTTTCTGTGAAACCACGGCTATTTTATAACACAACCATCCAACTCCTTATAATGTTGATCATGGAAAATAGCCTCCACTTCAAAACTTCCAATATAACCATTGTTATTTGCTTCTCTGAATATATCAGATTCCAGGCTTCCTCATACTTTGCTAGTTAAAAAAAAAAAAGCACTGGAAAAGGAAAAGGGACTCAATATTTAATTGCTTAGATAACTGAGTAGCAAAATGGTATTACTGTAATTACTGAGTGCTTCATTCCCCTGAGATTAAGATCCAAAATCCAGCATTCCAGTGGGGCATAAGAAGAGACTGGACTTATGCAAGAACTGTTCCAACAAAGAACACACTATTATTTCAGTATCAGCAGGCTATATTAAACTTTGACACATAAAAGTATGTAAGTGTGTGTGTGTGTGTGTGTGTGTGTGTGTGTGTGTGCACATATACATACACATACACACACACAAACACACTGTAAAAATGAGAAAAATAAACTTTATAATCTTTCCAAAGAAGTAGAATCAGGTTGCTACTTCTCATATTATCACACCCACTTTTTAAATGTCTTAGCAAAAAGAAGTCCTGTAAACCTGGCTCAGCACATTATATATGGTTTATCTAACCATGTGTAAACATGCATATTGCATGTGCAATGAAGTTCATTCTGATATTTTGAAGCATATGAAATACAACTTATAAAAATTCTCGGGTACAAAATACCATTCACACTGATGTACCAATATACTGGCTATTCAAACATTACAAAACCATGGAAAAACTTGGAAAATAAGAATACAATAGAAAGCTTTGTTTACCATCTCTTGCACTTTCAGTCTAGAGAAAACACTCAGGTCTACCCAAAGAATTAGTAACTTAAGGCAATGAAGAAAATGACTCCATTCCCCTGCAGAAAAATTCAGATACTGTATTAGCTGAGGAGGAGAGAGTGGAATTGGAGAGTGTGGAGAAGCTGCTACAATTGTCATTCAACCTCCAACATCTGTCATGAAGGGCAACTCCTTCTATTATCATAAAGATCAATACTATATGTTATCTCCTAATTGACTTACCAGTTCTTTTTGACATAAGGACATATTTTTAGGCAAAGGACTGAGCTATAACTAGTCATTTTTACTTTTCAAGAAAAATTACGGTTTCCATCTGGGTGTTATTCTTGAAATAAAAGTGCTTTTACTTTGCTTTGAAGCATACTAGCCTATTTTTTTGGTGTTTTTTAATGTTAAAAAGCAGATGGAATTCAACAAGCCCGAAGAAAATATGTGTAGATATGTGTCCTGCTATTACCACAATGAACTCATAATTGGTTGTGACTATCCAGAAGGGATTATGATTTTATACTAATTTGTAGAAAGCTTTCCATGCAGTAGAATGTTTATAGGCCTGTACCATCAAACTTGGATCAATGAATATCAGCAAGCAGTCAATGTGAGCCTATTAAGGAATTTCAAGCCCATTCAGATCAGACTGGATACCAGCATTAATAACTACAGGAATGACACCTGGGCTAATGCTTATGTAAAGGAAAAAAGAATTGTGGGTTGTCAAGATTGAAAAACACTAGAGGAATTTCATATTTAATATTACTTTTTAAAGGGAAGCCTCTAGTCAGTATTCTGGCTTTTTGATAAGGCCTATATTGGTTTCTCTATGCATAGTGGAGCAACTGCAGTAAGTGGATAACAAGGCCTGTTCATGTATACAAAGCAGGAACTGTTCTCCCAATAGATAAGGCTACAAAGTCAATTTTACAAAAAAAAAATTGTCCTGCAAATCTAATTGAGCCATAGTTTCGGATGGGAGAGAGTCATTTTATGTTTAAAAGAACTATTGTCAGTTAATACAGACTTTGAAAACTGATATTCAAATTAAAACCCTATCTCAGAACTCTTGATATCCTTCTCATTCCTATGTTGTACAGCAAATACCTTAGGTCTGAAAACTACACAGACTAAACTGTTTGATCCTTATTAGTAAAAGCTTTCATTATAAAGCCAGATCTATTACTCTACTTACTTTATTAACTGAGTAAAGGCTTAATATATATTGCAAATCTGATTTAAAAATACACTTCAGTTCCTTATTTTCATCACATTATTTGCTTTTGGCTAAAGGCTATTTGTAGTCATTTCAATTGGCACTCTTCAAGTTGAGGTAATATACTCTTAAATTTGGTGCCACATGCAGCCTTTCTATGTGATACACTATTACTATATAAGATTGCTTCATAAGCAAGTACTAACAAGATTTCATTGTTTTAAAAATGTAACTTGAAAAACAGTATATATTAATTTTAAATATTACAAGTAATACAGATAATTAAAATAACTTATATTCAACAGAAACCTGAGGCTGGTCATAAACTCATTTCTAGAACCCAGTTGAAGTGAATTAAATGTTCATCAGATGGCAGTTTAACAGCAGTGCAAAATAAATACAGGATGGTATATGTAATTGTTCTTGTCAATAAATATCCCTTGGGACTCTAGTGATATTCTGTTGAAGATACATTATTGTTACTATTCTTACTATTTTTTTCCCTAAAGTACAAGACATGATTTGGTGTTCCTCTGCCTAACTTGATTTGTAATTTGGAATTGCTGTAGGTAGACTTCAAATGTCTTTTTAAAAAGAAAAAAGCTTGTAATGAGAGTTTTGACTTAATGCAATGGCTATGGTCTCATGCATGCAAGTCTTGTACCAAATGACAGAGTCACAATTTTATCTGCTGCAATGTACTTTTCAAGTTTATTCTTAAAAGTGTAGAATTCAATAGCAACATCTAAGCTTTTATTCAAAAATATGTATTACTAGTCTGGTAAATTGGTAAAAAAAATTGCTTGAAAGAGACTAGTGCCTGACAAAAAAAAAATTGTTTGCAGGAAAGGCAATAAACAATTGTTTAGTGGCTAAGCTGGTGGTCTTCATCTCAGAAAATAGATTCCTTACTTAAATATTTTTTTAAAAATATCCTTTTGTATTACATTCTTTAATTCAATTGGTTTGATTGGAACAGCTTATAAATCCTGTGAATAAAAATAACAAAAAATTCTACAAACAATTTTTAATTATAACTATGAAGCATGCTGGGAACTAATGTTGATAACAGTTGTTTTCTGAAGGTTAACAGTCCATGCTCTTTCCTCAGGAAGGAAATGGAGGCTGGGTAGCGATTTTTTTAAAAAAGTAGCCCTCTTAGTGAATTTGCTCATAATCTGTGATATGAATCACATCCTGGGAATCTTGGGGAGAAAAAGTATTCTACTTATAAGGATGACACCTGTTTCCTCTTAGCATCTTATATAAGGATCTATCAGAAATCCAACATCTGCTATCTATGGGGGGGGGGGAGATGGTTGTGGGGAGGGCAAGTTTGTAATATCTCAGCAATATCTGTAACTTCTTTAGCATTTTTTCTACCAAACTTACCTGCTCATAGAGTCACCATGTATTAGAATTAGGAAATATGTTACAAGGGCTTTGTAAATTTACAGGAAATTATCCCACAAAGCATACTAAAAATATAATGATTTTATTTCTATTTGAGTGGAAACGAGAAGAAGTGCTGCTTTCACAATACAAACGATGTTACATAAGACGTTTTAACAGTTGTCTGCTGGACTTCCCCAACTCTTCTGCAACCCTTCTGAGAAGCAGCAATAAAAAAGTAAAGTGGGGATTTGATTTATATATGCTTGATTAAGCATCACTGGCACAAGCAGGATGGAGTCTTCTATCTTCAGCCACCACCATCATCCCAAAATGCCCATTTTTCATTCATTTACAGTCTTCAGATACCATCTGACTCTTTGCCTCAAGTTCCTCAGGATCAGTTAATCGGTTCCTCCTGGAATAAACAGCTTTGTCAGCCAATACTGCTTAGAACTCATTTTGAATTCTTAGAATCCATCTTTTTCCTTGCTTAAGATTGCCTAAATTTCCTGGCTAGAATATTAACAACCCCTCCCCCCTTTTCATTTGTTAGAATTTTTCTTTTTATTGAGAAACGGCTGTACATTCTTCTCCCTGCTAATTTATCAGTTTAAAGAATAGTATGTACATAAAAACTGGCTGTCAAAAGAGACAACCAGTTTAGTGTAGTGGTGAGGCATCAGGTTAGAAACTGGAAAACTAGTTCTGCCTTAGGCACTAAGTTGCAAAACTAGGTTACTTTAAGCCAGTTAACTTTCAGCCTGGGAAGGAGACAAATGGCAAAATCCTTGCCAAGAAAACCAGAGACTTGTTCAGGCAGTAACTAGGACTCAGGACTGACTTGAAGCACCTGCCTCTCCTCCATCCCAAAATCTGTCAGGATACTTAAGCAGTTATCTATTTTAACAAGTCCCCATCCAACCCCATCGATGTATGAAAATTGCAGCTCATAAATATATTAATAAATAATGGCAATGGAGGGTTAATGATGATGCTTTGTAACAATTCTTGGGCCCTAATAGAAGTTTGCTTCGGCTTGTTTCAAAGGCAGCCATGACACTGTTCCCATGTTTTATTGCTATATTCATGGAGGACCTGCTGGGGAACCTCTGCAGGATGTCTGATAAATTGATATCTTTAGCTCATGTTGACTGCAGGGAGGAAGCAATTTAGGAAATGTGTCATGGTTGTGGTTATTAGGGGTATGATAGAGTTAGTTTTATAGCATGAACAGCATAGTGCTGGGAAAGAAGGAATATGAAGAAGATGGTTAAAGGCCACTGGTCCTTGGGTTCGCTGGTCACAGTCTGGCCCTTCCTGGTGGGATTTCTATTCCTTTGCCAAAGAGGATGGACCATCAATTTGCATGCAGATGCCCCCACTGTGTATTCTGGCCCTACTGGAAGCTATTTTGGATTTGCCTTGGACTTCTTCCAGGACAGTAAAGGAAGGTAGGACCATATTGGGCAGAGAATAGTAGACTCTGGCATTGTTAACAGGAATCGGGGAATACAAGGTAATCAGTTTCTTACGACATTGTGTCAGCACAATTTATTGTTTGATAAATGCTAGAGAGGTATTCCCAAGCAGAGAACTTTAATGATGTTCTGATGTTTGTGAAATCTTGAATATGGGTTTAAAATCTAAGTATTTTTTTAAGATTATTAAAATAATTCACACAAATTCTAAGATTACTGTGTTAATGAATCTGGAAAGATTCATTAAAGCTGGACAACATTTATAAGAATTGGGCCTCAATAATTCCATGGAAACACAACATAATAATTATCTCTTCCTGATTCTCAACATCCAGTAGCTACGTATAATTTGTTTCTTAAAAAGAGAGTACTTTTCCAGATTTCATTTGAAAGAATGAAAATCAAATGATTATTCTTAAACTAGCAACTAAGCAAAGTTCATTACAACATGCTAAAGTTAAAACAGAATGGTGCTTTGTTAATATGCAGATAGTACTTGAATTAAACTATTCACCTAGTGACCAAAGTTAAAACAGCACTGAAAATAGTGACATAATCAATTTTCACACAACCGTTGTAGTATCCCCATGGTCACATGATCAAAGTTTGGGTGCTTGGCAAATGGCATGTATTTAAAAAAGTTGTAGCATCCTGGGATGTGATTGTGCTTGCAACCTTCCCAGACGGCTTCTGCCAAGCAAAGTCATTCGGGGAAGCAGGATTGACTTAATAACTGCAGTGATTCACTTAACAACCATAGCAAAAAGGTCATAAAATTGGGTATGACTCACTTAACTGCCTTGTTTAAGAATGAAAATTCTGCTCTCAAATGTGGTTGTAAATTCAGGACTACGATAGTATAATTACACACTGAAATGGAATACCACCAAGTACTGCTACAGTGGCCATTAACCCTCGAAGATCAGTACTTGCTTCAGGATTTTTAAAATTGTTCCACAGAAAACCAAGATTTCATGAGAACTTGATAACAGTCCATGAGAGATTAAGGGAGGAAAAATTAAACACAGCTGATTTTTCATTAGTAAATTCCATAGAAGAAGTTTGAAAATACCTGGCCTAACTCACTCATAAAGCTAAACTACAACATTTATCAATGATTCCCTATAATGCTATATTATGACTTAGTGTTCTCTGTGAATCAGATTAACATCTCCATTGATGGCTAATAGACCTGTTACCCATCTCCATTTTCATTTTTCTAGATAATGTTACAACGTCTCTTAATATTGTAACATTCTATAGGCTTTTTAGATATATTGGGTTTGGAAATTATAAGGCCACTATAGTTGGAGTTTGCCCAGTTTGAAGAGGCTGAGTTAGATTATTTATCCTCTGCCAGTTCCTGCTTTCCAGCATTATTCAAAGATTGAAGGTGGCTCTTGACTTGAGTTTAATGGATGGGCAGGAGGATCCCACTCAACTTGATTATGACACGGATCTTTTTGTGCATATACATTGTTTCCTAGGAGTGATTCAGAAGTTGATTCCTGTTATTTGTTCCAAAAAACTGGTCTTTATGTTATGCTATTTATGATGATAAATAGCAACCTACTTTCTGATCAGTGGACACCAGGCAGCACAGCCTAAACCAGGAAGTGCTGATAAATGTAGTTTTATAATATATGATAGATCTACGTATCTCATTTATACAGACATGCAACCTAAAAATTGTGTAAAGTGTCCATTCTTCAAAAGATTATCAAAGGTGAAAGACAACCCTTTCTGCTTCAGACTCTTCAGTAGAAAAATTTAATTATTTAATTGCAGCTAACCTGCTCTCTGTTACATATGCAATATATATTCCCCTTGTTCTCTCCACTTATTTAAAGCAGAAAAAGATGATCCATATTTTCCCACCATCATTTATGATTTGTTTTTATGATGCAGCTGGCTTTTCAGAAGAAAGAGAGAAAGCAAAAATCAAATGCAATAAACATACTTTTAAAAGTTAACATTCATGTCATACTTGTAATTGTCTAAGATACACTAACATTAGGTCTAACTGAAATAGAATAAATCCAAATAATCAAATCCTTGGTATTCAGGATAAATCATCCAGTATCATATGACCACACTTGTCTAAACATGCTGACAACATTGCTAGGATAATTATAACTAATTGTAGGTGGAACAGCAAAGTTCATCTTTTTGCAGTTTTTACGTTGTTCTAAAAGATGAATATAGGAATTGTTCTTAAGATCCTCCTGCATGTTTCTTGCAGAATGATTCATGTAATAGAACCATGGTTCATTCCAGTTCTAAAAATAACAACATATTTAGATCTGAAACTAAAAAAAACATTAACAGTGCAATCCAAAACATTTGATTATGTAGCCGACATATTTTTGTCTCACAGAATACAATATAGTGATTTTTAGGGAAGGCACATATGTACAAAAGGATACTAAAACTGAACACTTAATCAAAAAGCACAGCTTTAATCTTGTGAGGTCATGTCTTGAAACAAATATAAAAAAACAAAGCAGATATAAAATATGAAAGATTGAGCTATAATATACTAAGTTTCCAACTTTTCAAAGGCAAGACTACTAGATGAAATGGAGGTGGAACTTCATACTCTATTGTATGCATGCTGCCCTTGGGAAAGTCTTGATTTTTCGGGAGGATTTTGATTAGATAGCCCTTCAAACAGAGAATATCCCTTTGTGAAACAATATTGTAATATTGCATTTCCGCAATGAGTTAGCTCATAATATAACTTGTTGGCTATTATAGAATGATATAGGAATCTACTGAGAATATAGCTATTATAGTTTGTAATCCTACTGAGCAAATCTGCCAATTGTATTTTATTCAATAAATTATATCTGATTCAGGAGTCAAGTGACATTAATTACACTTCTTCTACTGCAGTTATTGCTGTCCAGAAATATCCTCCAACTATTCCATTAAATTTTAGTGGTGCAAAGGCTAAAAACTGGAAACACATGAGAACTGTAACCACAATATTTTAATATTAATCATGAACATATTCCATGCTAAATCCTAATAAATAAATAATTATTTTTATCCCTTTGTATGGCAAGATTCTGCATACTTTGGACAGTTACTACATCTACTGTCCTACAACTTACTTGTCCCTGGTCATCACAGGGCCATTCCTTAGTGGAAAATGCAAACTAGGCCAATGAATGTCTGCAGAGTCTAGATCAACGGCCCCCAACTTTTTTGACACCAGGGACACGTTTCATGGAAGACAATTTTTGCACAGACTAGGAGGAAGATGGTTTTGGTTTCACTCGTTCACCTGTTGCTCACCTCCAGCTATGCAATCCAGTCCCTAACAGGCCACAGTACTGGTACTGGTCCAGGGATTGGTACTGGTCCAGGGATTAAGGACCCCTGGTCTAGATGATCCATCACCATTACCCATTATTCTGGGTAATTCATAGAATCAAATACTTCTGAATCTAATTTGGAATCTGTAAGGAGTCAGATGCAACAGACAGATTGGAAGCAACAATCATAATGCAGTTGTCTGTGTGGTAAAAGAATATACACTTTAGTTTAAAAAGAGAACCATATCTACTAAGTTCGTATTTCAATTTATCTTGCCTGCTTTATAACCTCATGTCCAAACATATCTTAATAACAGAATTTTGTAAGTAAATAATAGACATCATCTATTAATCTTCTTTTTCTTCAGGAAAATGCACTGCAAACTTAACAAAAGTTTAATATAGAATAATATCCAAAGTATAATAGAATCCCTCCAGCTGTCACAAAAATCTATTCAGATTTTTGATCTTCTCTTAATGGATGGTCTTCTCTACCTAGATACTAACACTTTTTTTTCCTCTAGCATGAATGTAGTCGTGGGGGCCCCTCGGGCCAACACATCACAGCCTGGTGTGATAGAAGCAGGTGCTGTGTATATGTGCCCTTGGAAGCCTAATGGTAGTAAATGCATCCCTATTGAGTTTGATACTAAAGGTGAGTAGCTTCCCACAATCTGATCATGAAGCTATTACGAGGAGTTGCTACCATCATCAGGAAGTGAGAAGGTGGAGGAGGAAGCCATTTGAAAGCTTTTGGGATAGCTAATTGATACGAGGAATGAATGAATGCAATCCTATCTTTTTGTACTCATGTGATCTGAGATCCTATGTGGCCTTTACTCCAATTTTAAAAACCATGTCCAAATGATCAATTCACCTCTAGCTTCACTATCTTGGTCTCCAAAGGGGAGCAAGAAGAGGTATAAGAAAGTATGTTGGGGAAAGAGAGAAGAAAAGGAAATAATGGAGACAGAATAGGGAAGTTGTAGAAGATACGAGAGAAAAGGGAGAATTCTACTCATTTGTCACAAATTGATTATGCCCAGTGCCAGCATACTGATCTGCAACAGATTAGGAACTATAATTTTGATATAATAGTACAAGATCACAGATCTATAGCTCAGGAATTATTTGGGGTCAGGGCAATGCTTATTGTATTTATCTTCTTTAATTGTTTGTATTTTGTCCATGCCTCTATTGCTACCCAGGTGATCAAGTGGCAAAACTTAGTCTCATTACTGTGAAAACCTTCAAGTCTAAACAATGGTTTGGAGCATCTGTAAAGACATGGAAACAAAGTATCATGGTGGGTACTGGTTTCTGATTCTCTTCAAGAATCTCCAAAATTGAAATAATATTTAGCAAAAACTGAACATTTAGCCAAATGATTTCAGATTTAATTTTGACAGGCCACTTTGAAAATATTGCCCCTCCGTTATTATAGCTCAATTTAAAGAAATAAAGCCATTTTAAAAATATGAGGTGCCTTATAAGAGCTAAAATCAATTAAAATAAAAATAATTTGCTAACAATAAATTATAATAAAAATCCCACAAAGACATTTGGAAGTTTGATAAGGAATCAAGAATTGTTCATTGGAATTGCTTTGCTTCTCTAGTGATTACTTTGAAACACTAAATTCAGACTGTATTTGTATAATTTTCTGCATCTCTGGTTCATTTTCAAGCAGTATGCTGAAAGAAATTCCTGAGTGAAGCTTTGTATGTGTGCTGTTGGCTCCTCATTCTAGTTGTGACCCGCACTCATTTGTACATTCCTAGTTTTCTAACCAGAGGTGAGAAATCCTTTGCCTTTAATCTACAGAAAAACAGGCAAGGTGTGATCCTCTGGATATTTTTGAATTCCAAATCCTTTCAGCTCCAGCCAACAAAGTCAATGAGAGATGACAGGAGCTGAAATGAAAATCTGGAGAGCTATTATCTACTGGTATTATCCACTATAGCAAAGTTTTCTAATGTCAAAGAAGAATGAAAGGAAAGAACATTAGAAAAACAGTCTGACCACTGGTCTTGTCTCCACTGTCCATATGTTTAACCTCTTTGTTTGCTGCAGGAAATCATAGATTTTACAATAAGAGGCCCATAAAACTCTGGGTGTGCAAGTATCTAATAGAATCTTAAACATAGGTGGGATCTTCTATCCCTCTACTACAAATGATAATTCTTTTAGGGAGTGCCAAATGACAAGTCTGATTTTGGCTTGAGAAAATGCTCAGTTTCTAGCGTTGACTTTGGCTTGCCCCTTTTGTTGATTTAGTTGAAATTATTTTGTTTGGCCACATTTACTCCACAACAGGCTCATTTTGTCTCACTAATTGTTAGTGCTACAACATCCCCTTTCCCTCCTTTCAAACTGTCAGGCCTGTGCTCCACTGCAACACTGGAATGCTATGGACAATAAGGAAGAGACCACCAAAACTCCAGTGGGCAGCTGTTTCTTGGCTACAGGAGACCGTCAGAAATTTTCTGAATACTCTCCATGCCGCAATATCCAAATGCACTCTGTTTACAATTCAAGCTTAGGTGGTGAGTATTGCATGCATATGGTGAGGAAAGGAGGACAGTGGGTTATCTAAAGGAAGAAGCCATGCCTAAAACCTTCCATGCCCTAGTAACCTGTTGAGACTACAGTCAACCAACAGGTTGTGAAGATGCTTTAAGGGAAGCAAATTTCCACAAATTTCTTCAAGCGTCAAGCCTGCTTATGCAAATTGACCCAGTAATGCTGTGCCATATAAATAAATAAATACACAAATGGACTGTCTGAATTGTATCACATAAGCTTTCTTAGAAATGCTGATGATTACTGTATATACTCATCAATAAGATGAGAATTTTAAGTGCCAAAACAGTCTCCTACAAATTGGGTTTGGATTATCCAAGGAGGGCTTGTCTATGAGTATATACGGCAGGCTTTTCTCTCAGTTTTTAAAAAGTACCCATGTATCTTGTACACATTTGCAGATAAACCCATCCCCTAAGAAACAGACTCTCCAAATTTTAATCAAAATACCATGGAAAATCTCCATCCTCAGAAAAGTGCATTTTTCATAATATTTTGGTTTAAAAAAATTACAGTTCATTTTTAGTGCGTATTTTCTGAGAGAAACACAATGGAGGTCAGTCTTACTTTGAAGTCTATGGCTCTTATTTGCTGATGTGTGGAGGCACTTACAACTATGACTACTCAAACATGAGAGGAAAAATGCATTCTGCACATGCCAAGTGACATTCTTGCATGCTTGAGAGTTGCATCCTGATCTTCAGATTAGGAACGTCCCACTTGGGTTGAGAAAGCAAGCAAAAAATCCCAGGAGGGGGAGACATAATACTTAAGACCAAGTAAGGGTAGGATCTGGAGGCAGGAAAATAAATACTTTTCTTGGTTGTATAACAAATTAATACGATAATCAGGACAGCAAAATTGTAACAGTAGCAGGCTTTATTCTGCCCCCCAAAATGTCTTAATAGTGCTACCTCATTCTAAAGAGGCCTAGCTCACTTTTGTGATAAATAAAACAAATTTGGAGTTATGACATTTTTACTAAGTTTTTACTAAAAGGAGGACTTGGGGAGGGGGAAATCTTCCTGTTAGGTTGAAGTGCATGGCGGAAGGAAGGAAGGAAGGAAGGAAGGAAGGAAGGAAGGAAGGAAGGAAGGAAGGAAGGAAGGAAGGAAGGAAATATCAGTTGAATTAGATGTTTCTGAACATGTATAAAGGTCCTCCAGAAAATCAGTAATTAAACAATATAAAATGCCATTACTAATTCCTTTTATTCCCTTTGAATAATAAAAAAATCAATTGTCACTTATGATGTTTGCCAAAAGCAAGGCAAAACCAAAGAATAGCTAAATCATATAGAAAATAGAAGTAAAATATTTTATTATTTATTAAAACATGTATTAAATGATTATGCAGTCAGCACAATACAGGCAGTCCTTGGCTTACAACCATAATTGAGCCCAAAATTTCTATTGCTAAACAAGAGAGTTGTTAAGTGAGTTTTACTCCATTTTATGACTTTTCTTGCCACAGTTGTTAAGGAATTACTGCAGTTGTAAATTAGTAACACTGGCTTCCACATTTGTCAGAAGGTTGTAAAAGGTGATCACATGGCCATAGGACATTGCAACCATCATAAATACATGCATGTTCAATTTTTGTTCATGTGAAAAATGTTCATGTGATGCTGCAACAGTGGTAAGCGTAGAAAAATGATTATAAGTCATTGTTTTCAGTGTTTTACAACTTTGAACAGTCAGTAAATGAATGATTGTAAGTTGAGGACTACCTGTACTACAAAATAGGGATTTATCCATGACAATACTGTCCTATGCATGTTTTGACCAGCTGCCATGAAGGCTATAATCCTCCTTGCAAAAATGGCCTGTCTGTTATAGGAAGATTATCAATGTTTACCGAGATTATCCAAAGATACCAACATATATAGATGAAGCAGGCAGTCAACCCAGGCCCTAAGATAATTGGAATACTAAAATTCTAAGAAGAAAAAAAATGAAATCTGTCCTTGGCAGTTGATGCACCAATTGCATGGCTTGCCTAGGCTACCAACAGAATGGATAAGCTTGAAAAATGGGTTAGGGAAGAGCATCAAAATCCTCCTAAGAAATGCTCTTTAATGTCACATGATTTTTGAGCTTCTCATCTGTTTATTTCATCAGGAAATGACAAGCGCTACTGTGAAACTGGATTCAGCGTCACCATCTCTCAGGTGAGCTTTGCAGGGGAAAGATGCAAGGAGCAGTGAGAAGGATCAAGAGATAACCATTCTATAAACACCAAGTGACTGAGTAACATAGTTACCCCTAGAAAACACTCTAGGATAAAACTGATGGAATTGCCTATAACTTTGTACAAACTTAAATCTTCCTGTGTTTCTGATAATCTGGGGAGGTAAGACACTGATTCAGCTGATTGTAAAGTAAAAACGCTATTATATGTGTGCTAGACTCTTGAAGACATTGATGGAGATGACAATTGAAAATTGATTTTCCTAGCAATGAGATATGCATGGTACCTTTTGGTCTTCTTGGTGGTTGGGGGAATGGAAATTGGGAGCATGTGTGCCATCACACAAACAATGTGACTTGGTTGGTGTAAGTACATAATTATATCATTTGACAATGGCATCATGATACCCAAATCATTTTGACACTATTATTGTTTGCTATGGATATCTCTGTCCCACAGGGGTATGTAACTCAACAATACATATCTATGGTGTTCAATTACTTTTAGCCTTGGCTGCCATGACCATATGACTAAGTGGTCATGTGAACAAGCTTGCCAGACAATAAGAGCTTCTACAATATTAATTTTGTTATCATTAGCAGATTCAAGATGGTTCTGAAGAAAACTATCTGTAAAGAGACAGCACTTCAGTGACATACAGCCAGCTTACACCAAATATCTACCCACTAAAAGCTGGAAACATTGATAGTGGACATGAATCTTTCTTGCAAAGTCCTAAACAGCAGGCAGAAAGAAACAGGCATATAAAAGCTAGGTTGATTCACTTCACTAACATATGTTTTGTTGTTGCATTAAACCATAATTGTTCTTGCATTCATGAATGAAGGCAAATTTATATGTCCCAGGATAATGTTGCAGAATCCAATCTGGGTTGGTCACCGGGACCAGAGATCTAAACTTCTGGTCCCAGTGATTGACCCAGAATGGATCCTGTTCTTACACTCAGCCATTATGCCATGGTTTATATGCCATAATGACTGGATTATAATTCAAACATGTCTTTTTCATGCTCCTTTTTGCAAAATTCAGGAAGATAAAAGCAAAACCTGATTGTGAAATAGACATAACACATATTCTGAATTTTTAGGTATTTCTAGTACTCTGACTGACTTGAAGACTATACTTCCCCCCCCCCTTATTTTTGTCTTCTTCCCACAGTCTGGGAGGGTGTTGCTTGGCGCACCAGGTGGATATTACTTCACAGGTAAATGTATCAACTGTTGCGAACACCAAGAAACCTCAAAATACTAGGTCCTATTCTTGCCAATCATTTCAAAAAGGATACTGCAGATCTTGAGAAGTTGCCAAAGAACAAGAAAAATAGCAATGAATTGGAGCATCACCCTCTGTGAGGAAAAGTTGTACTGTTTAGCATAAGGGGAAAAACAAGTAAGGGTGTAGGAGGCCTTAATACTAATATAATATACCGTGTGATGTTTTATTTTCCCAACCTCACAATCTTAGACATAAAGCTAAAACTATTAAATTAGAAAATGGGAAGGACAGGCAGAAAGAAGAACTCCTTTGTGCATTATGGGAGGGGAGCTGAATGTACTACTACTACAGACATCTGATTTTAATATCATTCATGGATGAAGATGGTAGCTATATGACTAGTATCAGCTCAGTATCAGAGGCAGTACAGGTAGTCCTCGACTTACAACTATTCATTTAGTGACCATTCAAAGTTGCAACAGCACTGACAAAAGTGACATGTAACCATTTTTCACACTTAGAAACTGGTCACATGATCAGAATTTGAATAGGGTAACCTGCATGTATTTATGATAGTTGCCCTCTCCCAGGTCATATGATCACCATTTGTAATCTTCCCATCCAGCAGCTGACAAGCGAAGTCAATGGGGGAAGCCAGATTCGCTTAATGATTCATTGGCAAAAAAGGTTATAAAATGAAACTCAGCTCACTTAATTGCCTCGCTTAGCAATGGAAATTTTGTGCTCAACTGTGGTCATATGTTCAGGGTTATCTGTTAGCTAGTTTCTGAAGGAGGATGGGTCTAATTGTACCTACCCATTGAGTACAACTACTCAGTTAGACCCATTGTACTAATTATATTTGTGGATATTGGCAGATATCTTATGACTATTGTAGGAATAAAATGCTAGACTGAAAGGCTTTTGCTCAGATCCATCATAGTATTGATGTACTGAGGTCAGAAACAGGAAAGGAAGTATATATGGCTGGGGATTTCTGGGAGTTGAAGTCCACACATTTTAAAGCTGCTCAGGTTGAGACATACTTACATAGATGTTCTGGACCTGCAGTCTCCTATCTTGCCTTGTCCAATTAGAGTCCTGCTGCCATTATAGAGAAATGTGTTGCTTGGTTTCTTTTAGGTTTGTTCTATTCAGTTGCCCTATCAGAGATTGAAATAAAATATCCTCGTTCATCTTCTGCTTTGCTGTGGTACGTGAGCTCAGAACTGGTAACACAGGATTATAGAATAAAGAAATACCAGGATGGATACCGGGGTGAGTTGGCATTCTTTTCCTTCAGCAGACTCTGGGTGCATACAGACAGTCAAGGTGGCATGTACCAGAGAAGTTTAGAAGTTGGGCCTAAAATACTTAGCAAATGTTCCTCTTTTTTTCCCCAGGCACTTCTTTTTCCTTTGTGCTTGATCGCCAAACCATGAATTGGCCAGTCAAATGCTGGATTTGTTTTCCTCTGGTGCAAAGTAGCCAATAAATAGGAAACCTATTTATTCTGTAGGAAACCTATTTATTCTGTACAGCGCAAAGAAGTGTGCTCTTGGGACTACATCACAAATTGTGAGCCCCCCAATACACAAATTAGAATAGGGTTTTTTTTACACTTTTGGAAAACAAAAGCACATGTTCATTAGCAAACCATAGGCAACAAATAACAAAATATCCACACCCCTGGTAGAAGATTATCCTCCCAGAAAATGGGTTCCTTACTAAAACATCACAGCCCTCACCCTTTTGACCCTAACTGATAAGGCTGATAATGAAGTATGCAAAACTTTGTAGCTAATTTATCTGCAATAGGAACTTTAGCAGGACTTTAGCCCTGAACCAATTGCTGGCCTGGTTTGAGTTCCTCGATCAGGCTATCAAGTAGCCTTCCAGGAATTTTAAGGTAAGGATGTGAGGCCCAAGAATGAGAGGCCCCAAAAAGAGAAACATGAAAGTTTTTCAACAAAATGAGGTTTCTCTGGCTAAAACTAGCTATACCAGTCCTTCTTGCTCATTGCTGATATGCTAAAAGTGAACCATCAATCACTTTCATACTAGAAATGGCCCTTGACCTAATTCTAAACCAGGTCTACATGGAGGAAGGATAAAAAAAAAATCAAGATGATAGGCATTACTGAAACTGAAGGCCTATAGAGGCACGTGAATTGTCTAGTCAATTGACTATCGTGAACACTCCTGTTCAAATGGCTTCTACAAGAGATTAGCTCAACTGTATGCCAAATCCATCTCCTTGAAACATCCTGGCTGGCTGAAAAAAGAGAAAATGAGGGAACAAAAGAGAGAAAAACTTGCCTACCTACCTTGCTACTTTAGGCCTTGACCTTCCTTAACATGCCACATTGTTGTGAAATCAGTTTAGTAAACAGCAGTTACTATTCCCTTTCAAAATAATGTTCTAAACCCTGCTTTTCATAGGCCTAAATTTTCAGTTGTTACTCCCTCCTGAGAAATTATCTCTCTTTAATTTCAGAAATATATCATATGCTACCCGCATATTATTTTCAGCTTCTGGAACATTTTGCTCCCCGAAGTGAGGTTAGCCCCAACCCTCCTATTTTTTCGTAAGGGCCTAAAGACATGGCTTTGCCAGTTGGCTTGGGGCCCCAGTGGGGAAACAGCACAATGGAAGTTGTTGAGTCCTTGGCGGAAAGCAGACACGAGAAGCAGTTGGAGTTCTCAGTTTTCTTTATTCTGCGTTCAGCTTACAAGTAGATGGCTTCTGCAGCTCCCAAAACCTCCCAACTTCTTATATAGACATTTCCCGGGTAAATGCGATACTTTTCCCGCGCCAGCACCCGCGCATGCGCACGGCGCTGGCGACAGCCTGTCTGGTGTCTGGTCCCGGGCAGCTTTGCACTGCCCGGGACTGCCTGCAAACGCCCGAGCCGTTTGCAAGGCTCGGGACATAACACCCCTTTCCCCCGGGCTAAAACTATTACCAACATATAATCATTTACTCTATACAATGTTCCGTTCCCCAGTGCTCCCACTGTTTGCTGGCTTTTGCCTTGCCAGCAATGTTATATAATCCTTTAGGTACTTAGGAGATTTCTTTGCTCTCTGTGACCTTCTCAGCTCTGGGTTACTAGCATGAGTTCCCTGACTGGAGGGAGATGTGAGCCTGTTCTCCTTATTTTGCCTTGGTGCCTTCCAAGGACTGTGCCCCGCTGCCTGGCATGCTTGCTCGCCCACCGGGCTCGTCAGGCCAGGGCTTCTGTCACTTTGTGACCTGGTTGACCTGCCTAGCTGTAGACCCTCGGGCCCCCTGAAGTGATAGCCACTTCTGGGCGTTTCTGTTGAACCTCCTAGGTCCATCCAAGACCTGTCAGGAGGCTGTCCATTCCCTGAACCCCGTTCTGTGTCCGGGCTTGTGTGGGTTTCTGTACCTTCCCAAAACTCAGTTACTCCCTGATTTGGGCTAGAGGTGTTGTAGTCGGGACTTGGTTCCTCGACCACCTCCCTTTATGTTTGACCCCCTGTAGGATTTGGGGTAAGGTCAGGCCAACTTTGGGGATTGTGTGCCAGCTCTCTTGCGGGAAATGATTTGTTGGGATGCCCCCAGGTATCCTCCGTGACTGGAGTGCTGTGTGATATGTGTGGAAAGTGAGTATGCCCCCGGGGTGACTCCCTGGCTGGAGTAGGCGTGGATGCCTGGTAGTTAGGTAGGCTCATAGAATTCTTGTTCGGAGCTCTCGCGGAACCCTGGGATGGGCCGTTTGTGGCTCCATCAGTGGAGATGGGCAGAAGCTCGTGCCCTTCCCTTTGCTCCAAAGGGTCCCCCTCCCCCCCTGGAAAAGACCCAGGAGTCTCATCTGAAAGGTCCCGCCTAGGGCGAAGTTGGTCGATGTGCCGACGCAGGACACGACCGTTGTCCAGGGCTACCTCGTAGGAGAGAGGACCTGTGACCTTGGAAATAGAAACGGGGACCCATGTATGACCAGGCCCGTAATTGCGAGCCCAAACGGGGGCACCCACAAGTAGTTGTCTAGGTGCCCTAGGATGTGAGGTAGATGAAGGCAGTCTGTCCGGATGCAACTGGTCAAGTTTAGTAGTAAGTTGACGGCCCCAACGAAGTTCAGCTGGGCTTCTCCCTGTAGAAGTGGACGGTGTGGTGCGATAAGAAAGGAGAAAGTCAGCCAACCTGTGATGCCAGTCCCCGTAGGTGAGTCTTTTCAATGCGTCCTTTGTGATGCGCACCATACGTTCAGCCATACCATTGGTGGACGGGTGGAAGGGTGCAGACATGGCATGACGAATCATGTTAGCCTGTAAGAAAGCTTGGAATTCGGAGGAAGTGAATTGAGGGCCGTTGTCAGACACAATGACATCTGGAAGCCCGTGTGCAGCAAAAATCCCCCTCAGTACCTGAATAGTCTTTGCAGTGGTGGTGGATGAGACAGGTACAACCTCAAGCCATTTCGAATGGCTGTCAACAAGGACCAAGAAGAACGGGCCCTGAAAGGGTCCAGCGTAGTCAATGTGCACCCTAGACCATGGGGACTGTGTTTCCTCCCATCTATGCACGGGAGCTTGGGGCATCTCTGGGCGAGATCGTTGGCACAGGTGGCATGCATGCACCTTAGCCTCAATATCTGTATCTAAACCAGGCCACCACAAGTGGCTGCGCGCAAGAGCCTTCATACGAACAATGCCAGGATGACCCTCGTGGAGGGATTCTAAGACCCTAGTCCTCATTGAGGTGGGAATGACAACTCTGTTTTCCCCAAAGCAGACAACCCTGAGAAAGGGACAGCTCGTTCCTTTTGGACCAGAAACTCTGAAACTCAGGACTAGGGCAGTGCTCAGGCCAACCAGACAAAACCCAGGAACGGACACGTGAAAGTGTGTGATCTGTACCTGTTTCAGCAGCAACATCCCTGGCACTAAGAGGGAGCTCGGGCAAAGCTTGGATTGATAGAATGTTGACAGCTGGCGCAGGGTCAGCTTCTACTACTGGCAGAGGCAATCTACTGAGGCCATCAGCATGGCCCATTTCTTTTCCAGGCTTGTGGAGTAAAGAAAACTCATATGCAGACAAAAAAATAGACCACCTAAGCATTCTAGAGGAAATGATTTGGGGAGTCTGCTTACGTGTGGTAAACAGTCCCAGCAGAGGCTTATGATCAGTGAAGACCGTGAAGTGCCTGCCATATAGAAAGTCATGGAATTTTTTAATTCCAGCAACAACAGCCAGAGCCTCCCTGTCTATCTGAGCGTAGTTGCGCTCAGCAGAAGACAATGTTCTGGAGTAATATGCAACAGGAACCTGAGTTCCGTCAGACCTGAGGTGGCTCAGGACAGCTCCAACCCCGTAAGGGGACGCATCACAAGCGATGCACACAGGAAGGAACTCGTTGAAATGTGCAAGTACACTGTTAGAAGTGAGCAAAGCCTTGACTTTGTTAAAACAACCCTCATGCGTTTGTGACCACTGCCACACTGCTTGCTTGTCTAGTAGCCTGTGAAGAGGCTCAGCTACACTAGCTTTTTGTGGAAGAAAAGAATTGTAGAAATTCAGGAGGCCCAGGAAGGCCTGAAGTTCAGCCTTGGACTTTGGCCTAGGTGCTTCTAAAATAGCAGTTAGTTTGGATTCAGCAGGGTGAATCCCAGCAGCATCAATTTTGAACCCCAGAAATTCAGTAGAAGGCACCCCAATCTTGCATTTGTCTTTTTTGAGCTTGAGGCCTGATTTCCTGAATCTTAACAGAACAGCCCTTAGCCTTTCAGCTAGAATGTGTGTGGAGTCTCCTGCAATTAAGACATCATCAAAGTAGGGGCAAACCCCCGGTATGCCCCGTAGTGTGTTTTCCATTACGCTTTGGAAAATCCCAGGAGCGACATTCACTCCAAACTGCAGCCTTTTTACCTTAAAGGCTCCCCTGTGGGTCACAATAGTCTGAGCTATAGCAGCATCATCATCAACAGGCAGCTGTTGATACGCTTGAGCTAGGTCAAGCTTTGCAAAAACGCGCCCCCCCTTGAGGGAGGCCAGAATATGACTGACCACAGGAACAGGATAGGCATGTTGCTGCAATGCCTTATTCAGAGTGCATTTGTAATCAGCACAAATGCGAATGTCCCCATTTGCCTTTAGAGGCGTGACAATGGGGGTCTCCCAAGGACTGGAATCAACAGGTTCTAGGATTCCCTGTTGAATCAGTTTGTCTAACTCAGTGTCAATTTTACTCTTTAAAGCAAAAGGGACCCTTTCTTGCTTTAATTCTAATGGGAGTGACAGTGGGGTCTAGCTTTAAGGACACAGGGGGTCCTTTGAATGTGCCCAGCTGGGGGCTGAAAACATCTGCAAATTCTTTGCAGACTTCCTGTAGGTCGAGTGTTTGTAAACTGTTGAGTCCTGTGACGTGTATCCCCAGGGCCTCAAACCAATCGAGTCCTATGAGACTCGTTCGTTCACCCCCTACTACTAATAAGTCTAGTGGACCTTCAAAACTCTTGTATTGCACGTTAAGGGTGGCCTCCCCTTAACACACACTCTTGAATTTTGAAAATCTGTTAACACAATGTCAGAAGGCCTTAACTTGGCCTGAGTTCCACTACCGGAACAAATCTTCCTAAATGTATGCAATGAGATGATTGAAAGGGCAGACCCTGTGTCTAGTTCCATAGATAATGGAACCCCTTGTAGCTTCACCTTGAGTGACAGCTTTTTCTTAATGGGCTTGTGTGTGCCTGTCCTAAGGATGCTTCTTCGCGAAGCGCAAAACCCTACCCTATTCTGGCTGGGGAATCTGGTACCTTTCAGGCGCAGTTCTTCCTGAGGTTGTACCTTTTGTCGGCCCAGACACACAGCTGCAATGTGTCCTTGTTTGCCGCATGCCCGGCAGGTAGCGGAGCGGAACTTGCAGTCGGTTCTCCTGTGGCGATCTCCACAGCCGATGCACTTGAGCGGAGCTGAAGAGCTTCCCTTCTGTTTTTCTTCCTTCGTGGGGTGGAGACGGTCGACTTCCTCGTCCGGATCCTCCTCGGAGTTTCTTTGGACGTCTTCCTGGTGCACGGATGCAACCTCTGGACTGTTTCTGATCGGCCGCATGTTCTTGACAGCGCCGCCTGCTGCTTCTTCTGCGGTGACTTCCCTTAAGGCATCTTGGTAGGACAACTCTTCTTTAGCGAAAAGTCTCTGTTGTAGATCTCGATGCCTTAACCCGCACACGAATCGGTCCCTCAGTCGTTCTTCGAGGTCTTTGAACTCGCAGTGCTTGGCGGCCTTCCGTAATGCGGCGATGAATTCTTTGGCCGACTCACCGGGCCGTTGATCCCTCTGCTCGAAGGTGTGGCGCCATGCGATGACGGACATCTTGGGGTGGAAGTGCTCCTTCAATAGCTTCTTCAGATCTGCGTAGCTGACAGACTCTACTGGAACAGGTGCTGCAAGGTTTTCTGCGATGTCGAAGGCGTCTTGACCGCAAACACAAAGCAGGGTGGCAGCCTTCAAGCTCTCTTCCCTCACTTGGTTTGCCTTGAAGTAGTTCTCCACCCTGGCTACGTATGACTCCCACCGCTCTGGATGTGAGACGTCGAACTCCGAAAGCCTTCCGATTTTCGCCATCTTCAGGAGACGGGTCTATCAGCCAGCCTACCCCCGAATGCGCACTGGATTGGCGGGTAGCTGCCGAGTCGACGCCGTTCCGCCGCTCAGGACTCACTTGGGTAAGCTTACACTTCTTCCTTTCCAGGCGGTGTAAGGCAATCCCACCCTCGTCGCCAGTGTTGAGTCCTTGGCGGAAAGCAGACACGAGAAGCAGTTGGAGTTCTCAGTTTTCTTTATTCTGCGTTCAGCTTACAAGTAGATGGCTTCTGCAGCTCCCAAAACCTCCCAGCTTCTTATATAGACATTTCCCGGGTAAATGCGATACTTTTCCCGCGCCAGCACCCGCGCATGCGCACGGCGCTGGCGACAGCCTGTCTGGCCCTGGGCAGCTTTGCACCTGCCCGGGACTGCCTGCAAACGCCCGAGCCGTTTGCAAGGCTCGGGACATAACAGAAGTGGTTGATTGAGAAATAACAGATCCCACCTCCCACTTCATTCCATGCTCAGTTTTATGTAATGGGGATTCAGGCATCACACGAAGGCACATTGTGAAAAGCTTCTTTATTGATCTCCTTACAAACAGCAAACAGCAAAAGGCACGCAGGCCTTTTATAGCGCCCTGAACCCAGACAACAACAACCAATAAGAATCTGGCTATTTCCACCTTGCGCATGCACACAAGGCTGGCGCCAGCTAGTCTTGTCCCAGGCAGCTTTTGGTTTGCCCTGGACCATTTGCAACATTTCTGAGCCCGTTGTATACTTCAGCAGGCTCAGGACACAACACTCAGGATGGAGAATTCTGTGCTCAAGATCATATTCTTGATGTCTGCTCTTGTCTAGATGAATATATGTTCTAGGTGAGAGCCAGTTTGGTGCAGTGGTTAAGGCATAAGCTAGAAACCAGGAAGCCTTGAGTTCTAGTCCCATCTTGGGCACAAAGCAAGCTGGGATAGTTATCTTCTCCCAGCTCCAGGAAGGAGGCAATGACAAGCCACTTATGAAAACCTGGCAAAGAAAACTGCAGGGATTAGTCCAGGCAATCTCCAATAATTTGACACAATAGAACAGAAGAAAAAAATATATGTTATATGTATGCCTTAAGCCAGTGGTCCCCAACATTTTCAACTTAGTGGACCGACGGGGGGTCGGTCATTTTGTGTGAGTTGCAATCGCACATGGGAGTGTGTGCAACTCCCTATATGCAAGCAATGGGAGACCGCACCCACCATTCACACAAATGGAGCTGCACATGCATGCTCATCCGAAGCTTGTGCAGGCCAGTTCCAAATGGATTGTGGCCCAGTAGTGGGTTGCGGCCTGGGGGTTGGACCCCCACCTTAAGCAAAAGACAGTTCTTAGCTGGGGCAGTTGAGGTTGTTGTTCTGCCATGTTAAAATCGTGGAACCTGGAGACCAGATGATTTCAGACAAAGGCTATGTAGAAACACATATTGAGGTGAGCAGAATAAAAATTGCCTGATATCTAGATGGTCAAACCTGTCCAAAATGATTTGCAGACAGGAGCATTATCATCCTGCTCGATTCTCTATGGATTATTTTGATTTCATTGCTTTTCATTTCATTTCATTTCATTCCTTCTATGCAGGGTACTCTGTGGCTTTGGGGGAGTTTAATGAAGACTCAACATCATCAGGTAAAAGAAGTGCATTTTTCCTCTGGAATGAAGTAGGTTAGGATCAACAGAATTGGAAAAAGATCTGCTTCCTGACTATTTTGTTGTTTAGTGTACTTTATGACCTTTTTGGCAGGAATTCAAAATGAATATTTTAATGTTAACAGAACAGAATAACAGAGTTGGGCTTGGCTAAAGCTAAGTGAAAGAAAGGAGGAAGAAGAGATTAAAGCAGAAATAGAGGAAAGGAGTGCACTGAATCCGCTCCATGCTCTCTGGGTAAGAATGGAACCTTACATAGCTTAGTAGGGCTGTGAGTAAATGGATGGGACTCCCTCTGCTCAGGCAGGAAACCCTATATCATTTCAGACAAATGGTTGTCCAGTCTCTTCTTAAAAACTTCCAGTGTTGGAGCGTTCACAACTTCTGGAGGCAAGTCTTTCCACTGATTAATTGTACTAATTATCAGGAAATTTCTCTTTAATTCTAGGTTGCTTCTCTCCTTGATTAGTTTCCATCCTTTGTTTCTTGTCCCGCCTTCAGGTCTTTGGAGAATAGCTTGACTCCCTCTTCTTTGTGGTAACCCCTGAGATGTTGGAACATTGCTATCATGTCATCCCTAGTCCTTCTCTTCATTAAACTAAACATATCCAATTCCTGCAACCATTCTTTATATATTTTAGCTTCCAGTTCCCTAATCATCTTTGTTGCTCTTCTCTGCACTCTTTCTAGAATCTCAACATCTTTTTTACTTCATGGCGACTAAAACTGAATGCAGTATTCTAAGTGTGATCTTACCAAGGCGTTATAAAGTGGTATTAACACATTGATTCTGTCTCTCTGTTAATGCAGCCTAGAACTGTGTTGGCTTTTTTGGCAGCTGCAGCATACTGCTGGCTCATATTTAAATGATTCTCCACTAGGACTCTGAGATCCTTCTCACAATTACTATTATTGAGCCAGGTACCACCTGTACTATACCTGTGCATTTGTTTTTTTTTACCTAAATGTAGAACCTTACTTTTTTCACCATTGAATTTCATTTTGTTAAATAGTGCCCAGTGTTTAAGTCTATCAAGATCCTTCTGTATCTTAAGCCTATCTTCTGGAGTGTTTGCTATTCCTGCCAGCTTGGTGTCATCTGCAAATTTGACGAGTTCCACATCTATCCCCTCATCCAAATCATTGATGAAGATGTTGAAGAGTATTGGACCTAAAACAGGGCCTTGGGATACCCCACTGCATACTTTCCTCCATGTAGATGTACTTCCGTTGAGGATTACATGTTGAGTGCAGTTGGTCAGCCAGTTATGATATCTGGCAGTGATGTTGTTTAATTCACATTTTTCTATCTTATCAAGTAGTAGGTTGTGGTCTACTTTATTAAATGCCTTACTGAAGTCCAAGTAAATTATATCCACAGCATTCCTCTGGTCCACTAATTTTGTCACTTGGTCAAAGAATGCAATAAGATTTTTCTGGCATGATCTGTTTTTGACAAACCCATGTTGGCTTTCGGTAATGACTTTGTTTGCCTTTAGGTGTTCGCTGATTTGTTGCTTGATTATTTTTTCCAGAATCTTCCTGGGTATTGAGGTCAGGCTGATCAGTCTGTAGTTTCCTGGATCTATTTTTCTTCCCTTTTTTGAAGATGGGAACTACATCAGCTCTTTTCCAGTCCTCTGGTAATTCCCCAGTGCTCCAGGATCTTTGAAAGATATAGTTTAGTGGTTCTGAGATGACATCTGCCAGTTCCTTCAGAACCTTGAGGTGTAATCCATCTGGTCCTTGTGATCTGAACTCGTCTAGGGTGGACAGGTGCTCACTTACCATTTTCTTGCCTATTTTAACGTGTTTCTAATCTGTTTTTTACAGTCCTGTTTTTGATAGGTTGGGCTCTTTTTTCCTTTTGTGTAAAGATGGATGCAAAAAACAAGTTAAGTAGTTCTGCTTTCTCCCTGTTGCTTGTTACCTTCTTACTACTTTCTCCCATTATTGGATTAATCTTTTCCTTGACTTTTTCCTTGGTTTTTACATGTTGAAAGAAGGTTTTTTGATATTTTTGACTTTTGTCGCAAGCCTTAGTTTGTGATTTTGAGCCTTAGCTTTCCTCACTTTTGCAAGTTAGGGTTATTTGCTGATATTTTGTCTTAGTTATGTGTCCCTCCTTCCACTTTTTATCTTTGTCCTTTTTGTCTTTCAATTTATCAGAGAGTTCTTTATGCAGCCATGCTGGGGTTTTTTGAGAGCTGTTATTTTTTCTTCTTCACTGGTATTATGCTAGACTGGACTTTTATAATCTCACTTTTCAAAGTTTCCCAAGCTTTTTGGGTTGTTTTCCCCTTGAGGATTCTCATCCATGGAATCCTGTCCAAGCTGTCTCCAAGTTTATTGAAAAGTCCAAGACTCTTAAAGTCCAAGACTCTAGTTTGACTTTGTTCTATTGCTTGTGCTTGCATAATGTTGAATTTCCATATTGCATGATCACTCTTCCCCAAGGTTCCTGTGGCTTCAACACCTTCTATCATTTCATCTCTGTTAGTGAGAATTAAGTCCAATAGGGCTGATCCCATAGTTCCTTTTCTACCTTTTGGGAGACAAAGTTATCTGCTAGGTTTGTCAGGAACCTGTTTTATCTTCCACTTGGTGCAGAGTATATCTCCCAATTGATGCCAGGATAGTTAAAGTCCCCCATTACTATTGTGAAATGCTTCCTGCGTACCTTAGCTAACTGATTAGCAAAAAGTTCATCTATTTCCTCTGTGACCTATAGTTTTTTCCCCTTTTATATTGACCCAAATGCATTCAAGACAGTTTTCACCATTGTTGTCCTCTATTTCTGTGGAGAGGTAATTATTTCTTATATATAATACAACTCCGCCTCCTCTTTTATTTGGTCTGTTTCTTTTAAATAATTTAAGTCTCTCTAGCTGTATATTCCCCTTTATGGATTACTGCCTTGTCGTAGCGAAGGGGCTTGCGTAACTCAATGAAGCTATAAGCTATGCCGTGCAGGGCCACCCAAGATGGACAGGTTATAGCAGAGAGTTCTGACAAAATGTGATCCACTGGAGAAGGAAATGGCAAACCACTCCAGTATCTTTGCCATGAAAACCCCATGGACATTACTAAAAGGCAAAAAGATATGACGCTGGAAGATGAGCCCCTCAGGTCGGAAGGTGTCCAATATGCTACTGGGGAAGAGCAGAGGGCTAGTACTAGTAGCGCCAGAAAGAATGAAGCGACTGGGCCAAAGCCGAAAGGACGCTCAGCTGTGGATATATCTGGTGGTGAAAGGAAAGTCCGATGCTGTAAAGATTTTTTCTCCATAGGAACCTGGAATGTAAGATCCATGAATCAAGGCAAGCTAGACGTAGTCAAAAAAGAGATGACAAGACTGAACATCGACATCTTAGGAATCAGCGAACTAAAATGGACAGGAATGGGTGAATTTAACTCAGATGACCATCAGGTATACTACTGTGGGCAAGAATCCCTCAGAAGAAATGGAGTAGCCTTCATAGTCAATAAAAGAATAGGAAAAGCAATACTGGGATACAATCCTCAAAATGACAGAATGATCTCAATTCGAATCCAAGGCAAACCATTCAATATCACAATAGTCCAAATCTATGCCCCAACCACTGGTGCTGAAGAGGATGAAATTGACCAGTTTTATGAAGCCCTACAGCACCTTATAGAATTAACACCAAAAAATGATGTCCTTATCATCATGGGGGATTGGAATGCTAAGGTAGGAAGCCAAAAGATAACGGAATAACAGGCAAGTTTGGCCTTGGAGTACAAAATGAAGCAGGGCACAGGCTAATAGAATTTTGTCAAGAGAATACGATGGTCATAACAAACACTCTTTTCCAACAACCCAAGAGACGGCTCTACACATGGACATCACCAGACGGTCAACATAGAAATCAGATTGACTATGTGCTCTGCAGCCAAAGATGGAGAAGCTCTATACAGTCAGTAAAAACAAGACCAGGAGCTGACTGTGGCTCAGATCATGAGCTTCTCGTTGCAAAATTTAGGCTTAAATTGAAAAAAGTAGGGAAAAGCACTAGGCCACTCAGGTATGAACTAAATCATATCCCTGATGAATATACAGTAGAGGTGACAAATAGATTTAAGGAATTAGATCTGATAGACAGAGTGCCTGAAGAACTATGGATGGAAGTTCGCAACATTGTACAAGAGGTAGCAACTAAAACCATCCCAAAGAAAAAGAAATGCAAGAAAGCAAAATGGCTGTCTGAGGAAGCTTTGCAAGTAGCTGAGGGAAGAAGGGAAGCGAAAGGCAAGGGAGAAAGAGAAAGATACACCCAGTTGAATGCAGAATTCCAGAGAGTAACTAGAAGAGATAAGAATGCCTTCTTAAATGAACAGTGCAAAGAAATAGAAGAAAACAACAGAATAGGGAGGACCAGAGATCTCTTCAAGAAAATTGGAGATATGAAGGGAAAGTTTCATGCAAAGATGGGCATGATAAAGGACCAAAATGGCAGAGACCTAACAGAGGCAGAAGAGATTAAGAAGAGCTGGCAAAACTACACAGAAGAACTATACAAGAATGAGCTTAACATCCCAGATAACCACAATGAGATGGTCACTGACCTCGAACCAGACATCCTAGAATGTGAAGTGAAATGGGCCTTAGAAAATCTGAGCAACAACAAAGCTAGTGGAGGTGACAGTATTCCAGCTGAGCTATTCAAAATCTTAAAAGACGATGCAGTAAAAGTGCTACACTCAATTTGCCAGCAAATTTGGAAAACTCAACAGTGGCCACAGGATTGGAAAAGGTCAGTTTACATTCCAATTCCAAAGAAAGGCAATGCCAAAGAATGTTCAAACTATCGCACCATTGCACTCATTTCACATGCTAGTAAAGTTATGCTTAAAATCCTACAAGCTAGACTCCAGCAGTATGTAGATCGAGAACTACCAGAAGTACAGGTAGGATTTCGAAGAGGCAGAGGAACTAGAGATCAAATTGCCAACATACGCTGGATCATGGAGAAAGCTAGGGAGTTCCAGAAAAACATCTACTTCTGCTTCATTGACTATGCAAAAGCCTTTGATTGTGTGGATCACAACAAATTGTGGCAAGTTCTTAAAGAGATGGGAGTACCAGACCATCTCATTTGTCTCTTGAGAAACCTATATGCGGGTCAAGAAGCAACAGTGAGAACTGGACACGGAACCACTGATTGGTTCAAAATTGGAAAAGGAGTCCGGCAAGGCTGTATACTGTCGCCCTGTCTATTTAACTTATATGCAGAGCACATCATGAGAAAGGCAGAGCTAGATGAATCAAAAGTTGGAATTAAGATTGCCGGGAGAAATATCAACAACCTAAGATATGCAGATGATACCACTCTAATGGCAGAAAGTGAAGAGGAACTAAAGAGCCTCTTGATGCGGGTGAAGAAGGAGAGTGCAAAAGTTGGCTTGAAACTCAACATTAAGAAAACCAAAATCATGGCATCCGGCCCTCTCAATTCCTGGCAAATAGATGGGGAAGAAATGGAGGTAGTGACAGATTTTATTTTTCTGGGCTCCAAGATCACCTCAGATGGGGACTGCAGCCAAGAAATTAAAAGACGCTTGCTCCTGGGGAGGAAAGCTATGGCAAATCTAGACAGCATACTAAAAAGCAGAGACATCACCCTGCCAACAAAAGTGCGTATAGTCCAGGCCATGGTTTTCCCAGTTGCAATGTATGGCTGTGAAAGTTGGACCATAAGAAAGGCTGAGCGCCAAAGAATTGAGGCCTTTGAACTATGGTGCTGGAGAAGACTCCTGCGAGTCCCTTGGACTGCAAGGCGTTCAAACCGGTCAGTCCTAGAAGAGATCAACCCGACTGCTCTTTAGAAGGCCAGATCCTGAAGTTGAAACTCAAATACTTTGGCCACCTAATGAGAAGGAAGGACTCACTGGAAAAGGGCCTAATGCTGGGAAAGATTGAGGGCTATAGAAGAAAGGGACGACAGAGAATGAGATGGCTGGATGGAGTCACTGAAGCAGTAGGTGTGAACTTAAATGGACTCCAGAATATGGTAGAGGACAGGAAGACCTGGAGGAACGTTGTCCATGGGGTCGCGATGGGTCAGACACGACTTCGCAATTAACAACAACAGCTGTATATTCCATTTGTGGATTTCACATTAGTTTCTTTCAGTAGCAGTAGCCAAAAATGCCCAGGTTTTCAGGAGTATCTGTTTAATATCTATTAAGATGTTTAAGCTTCTCTAGTCTTAGTACTCTCCACCCAAAACTCACGAATTTAGTAGGATACCAGGATTAAGCATGAATTCTATGCCTAGCTCATGGACAACTTAGCCTGCCAAGTGTTTGGCAACTACTGACATATTCTTCTTTTTGCAGAATATGTAGTGGGCATTCCTAACATGAGCCTGACACGAGGAGGGGTAAGTACAAGACACAAAGCAGAAGAATTATAAAGAGAGGGGTGGTGCACCTGTTTTGTCTCTTCCAGAGAAAAAAGTGGAATCCAAACAAAAACAGCTTATTTATTGTATATAAAAGAACACATAGCAGCCCTTTTAGGGAACTTCCTTAGGCTCAGTTTACGTACTCTGAGTCTGGACTTGATATTGGGTTGCATGTCTGAACAACAGCACAGATTATGGTCTCCTCCCATGTATGCAGAGAAGCATTTTGTATATGTCCTGATTGCATTTATTCTAGGATTGAGCAATAGCTTATTATTTTTTCCCTCCACTACACTGAAAACAAATCTTGGTTCATAAGAAATAGTGATAGTCACTTAGCAAGTGTTTCCACCTGTTTCGGGCCAGTGAGTGTGTTTGGAATTTTTCTAGGGGGATTTGTCCAGAAATGGTTGCACAGGGGATGCTTGTCCATTTGGAATCTCAGCCTTACAATATAGGTTTTTTATTCCCCAAATGCCCTCTTGATCAGGACCTCTATTTGTTCTGCTTCTTACTCTGGGGGATGGTCAGGCTAAATAACCTCTTGGACTCCAGGTTCCATCTGCCAAGCCAGCATGACTGATGGACAAAGCTGTGGAAATTTTGGTCAAGCAATATCAGATTTTCATAGTGTCCAGTGAACACTCATGGACATGAACATATTGTATATTCTAGTTTCTTGAAAAACAAAAATAGCTGGATCTCTTTGAGAGGGCAGAACTTTAATCTGCTTGATTCTTTGCCCCCATTTCTTATCTTAGGTGGAAATTCTTACAAGGACCTATACATTCCACATTCTCTGGACTCTCCTCAGTGAGCAGGTAAAAAAAATATATCTTTCACTTGCATGGTTTCCTTTGCTTCTTCTAACCCATCAGTAATGTTCTGGTGGTTCCTTCCAAATACGTTTGAAATGCATGCTAGCTGGGCATTCTTGCTTTTGTAATCCTATCTGAAAAGCAAGATGCTTGGGAGGACTTCCTTATACTCTTTTCCCAGTTGGACAGGGAGGAGGATAACTAGAAGATTTAGATAATAAATACAGCTTCCCTGGTATTGCTTAAATGTTGCACTATTGTTGATTCTACTCACTTGGTTCATTGTAAACATTTTTCTTTTTCATAAAGCCAAAAATACAAATGGGATTCCCGGATGAGTAAACCTGAGTCCTTATTCCTCATGGCTCTTAAAATTTTCCAGGTCACTGGGCTAGTAGAATTAGAAAGTAATTCCCATGTGGCAATTTGTTTGATGGGAAGGCAAACTATCATTGTATCAATTGCATAAGTTCCCAGGATGTTTTTATCTTCATTTCTTTCCTTTTGCAGGTGGCATCATATTTTGGGCATACAGTGGCAGTTGCTGATATCAATGGAGATGGGTAAGACCAAAGGAGGTGATCAAAGTAGTCTAAATTTTAATTGGATCCAAGGCAGCTTGAGGGGTAGACAGCTATTAAACTTTGGTCTGAAATTAGGGACCTCATCATCCTACTTTGTGAAGACTTAATACAAAGACTGTTCTAAAGCTGAGGCCTCAAGGAGTAGGTTCAAAAGCATCAGTGTGTTAGTAGATACTAGGCTGGAAATCCAGGGATCACAGATAATGGGGGTCCTAGACAAACTCACAAAGTATTAATGCTTTGGTGAATATGGGCAAGCCTAGCTAACAAGAGTTGATGCTGCCTGATGGCACCACCCTTTATATTTTTCTCATTACTTTTTTTTAAATTATAGCCAAGGAGTTTACTGCATAGTCATAGATGCTGATTTATTATTTCTACTTTCAAATAAACACCAAAAGAAACCTATTGCCAGATCCTACGGCTGTCTAAAAAGGGTAGATAAGACCACATAGTCCAAAGTTTATCATTCAACCCATGAGTACAAGAACAGAGCGGAATGGCAAGAGTTGAGATTTGTCAGGAAGCTCTTCATTGCTTCATCCCAATTTTGTTCAAGTCTTTGAAGAGTTGCAATCCTTACATTAGCCTGGTCTGATGCCCTCCAAACATCTCACTCCTTCCACCAACCCTATTAAACAGCCAGTGTACTGGACGGCCATAATAGAAGCTTTATTCAAATGCTTCAAAAGAGGGCCAACTAGAATTCAATACTAAATGCTAGGCTGTGTTAACTGTGCCAATTTATGGTTTAGTGTAATAAGAAGGGAAGAGATTGGGTTTTTTTAAAGTTAGAATTAGTAAATACAATAAAAGTATTAAAAAAAGAAAGAAAAGAAAAACAAAAGTGGATGAAGATTATTTTCTAGATTATAACAACAACATCGTCTATGTGGACGATGTACTTAGTTTCATATCATAAAGGATAGGTAACAGAGCAGCCATCCGAAGCATTTTTTCTTCTACAGCTTGATTAGCTGTAAAGAGCAGATGAATAACCAACATAGAGTTTTCTGTCCCCATTACCAATTCTAACCACCTCTGTTGGTTGCCCTTGTTTCCAGCCAGTGCCATTATTTCCTGTCTAGGGAAGATTGTCCTCTCCCAACCCATCAGGCCCTTCATGACACCATTTGATAATCATAGCCAAAAAAGATTGCTACTGTGGATAGGAACAAAAGGCCCTAAATGTTTGAAATTCTCTCTCTTTTTAACTTAAATAGTCAATTTGGTAACTGAATAATTTTGGACATTGATTTTAATGGTTCATGTGGCAAGAGGTAATTATTTCCATTATATCACAGGCATTTCAAATGATCCCTTAGGTTCCAATCATCCACCATTCCATTATGAATAATTGCTTCTACATCCTAATAAATTAGAAAAACAACCCACGGAATGTGTTTGTTATCTGTTTACAAAAAAACTTTTGAGAATATGGAGTTTTTGGTTTGAAGAGTATTTAAATCATAAAATTCTCTTGATTACATGAAAAAACAGAATTTACTTCTCAGGCCCTGAAGCTATACTCAAATTCTTAGCAACCACCATAAACTTAGTCAACTGTCCCTGTTTTCTCTGTGTCCTGGTCTGCTAATACTTACCAGGGGCTGACAGTGAGCCCTTTGTCACTGTCTCCTTCATCTGCACCTCTCTGAGTGGAGCACTGGAGGCACTTGGAGGAGAACTGAATGCAGGTCTTTGTAATTTATCCCTAAAGTGCAGCTACAAATGTTAAATTAACCAAAAAGGTTACATGCTGAAATTACCTATCAATCAACTTGCTTCCTCCATTTTTCTTTCAGGGTTTCTTTTTCCATCCAAAGAGATCCATGTGCCCATTTTGGGAATCTGCTGACCTCTGTTGTCAGTTATCTGTTGTTGAAATTTTGGCAAAGGGAATAGGAATCCTATTCCTACTACCGTGTTTCCCCAAAAGTAAGACCTACCCCCAATATAATGATTTTGAGGAGGTGGGCCTAATATAAGCCCCGCCACCAAAATAAGCCCTAGTTTTGGGGTGAGGCGCATGCCTAAAAATCAAGCTGCAGCAGAGGTGGAGTTTACCATTGCAGCCAGGCCTCCAATGGATCGACACTTGCCTCGCTGGCCCACTTCTTCTGCAGCTGAAGGAGCAGCTTTAGCTCCAGCCTACATTTCACAGCCAGAGGCCTTTCCGTAAGGCCTGTGTAGCTGAGAACTGAGTTACAGATTGAATCCCTAGCTCGATTCTCAGCTGCAGAGGCCTTCCAGAAAGGCCTTTGACTGTGAAATGCAGGCCAGAACTGAAGCTGCTCCTTCAGCTGCAGAAGAAGCGGGCCAGCTGGGTGAGGCTGTCGGTGCTGCTGCCGCGAGGTGAGTGCAAAAACACACACATACCCTGAAAATAAGACCTAGTGCCTCTTTTGGAGCCCCCCAAAAACCGGTTCTTATTCTCAGGGAAACACGGTAGCATTAAACAAAAGGCATTATGTAGTAACAATTCTGCCTTTTTCCATATATATATATATATATATATATATATATATATATATATATATATATATATATATATATATATATATATATATATATATATCGTTGGGAAAACTCCCCAACATCTTCAGGGCTGAGAGATCGTTTCTAATAAGATGGTTTAAACGGGTTCCATAGACGTCTGCGTGTGGCTCCTAGACCGTGCTAGCGTTCCCCGCTGAACAGCTGATAGGTGGGAGGGGGAATCGGAGTAAAAATTTCTTCCGTCGTTCTCTCGAGCACTTTTGTTCACATCTCCACCGTCGATCTCAGGGGGTATTGTTAACATTATGTTCCGCCCTCTCCCGGCAGCACTGGCTCTCGTTGCAGCGGGGGGATTTAGTTCGATGTCATTGTGTATCCTACCATGGAGGCAGAGCTTCATCGGCTGCAATTTAACATCTTTCCTCTGCTGCGTGCTCCTGTATTTATCTTTGCTCACATGTACAAGCATCAACTGGATATGGTATTTTTCAATGTTTGAATCATCATCCTCCGTCATGGTGTCCTCCATGCTCATCTTCCCTCGTAGGTCAATATTCAAGTTAAATCCTCCCCGTTTCTGTGAGCAGAAGTCTGATGGTATTTGGGCAGACTCCCCGCTCATGTTACTTTCCCTTTTATCAAGCGAATGGGTCGTCATCACATGTTTTTTCTCCCCTCTCTGTATGGGATATTCACCTTTATTATTGTGGGTAGTGCTAAATTTAGTGGTTCTATCCTCAAATTTCTTAAGCACTCCAATGTCATTATTGTTCTTTCCTCCAATCAAAGGGGGTGTGGGTTCCCCTTGATGTTGTTGGGAGGTGTCTGGGTAGTCTATATCAGATCGTTCCTGGTAGGGAGGAGGTGTAGCTCCTGGTTTAGAATGTTGTGAATGTTGATTGTAAGGTTTGTGATATAAAGGATGATGGTTTGAGTTCCATTTTCATAGCGCTTGTTGCGCTGGGTGTAAGTCAATGTGACAATTGATTGAGTTGTTATTCGAGAACCAGGCTTCTTTTAGCAGCCGACCTCCCTTCGTGGCATCACTGGCTACGATAAGGGTGTTATCGAAGTCAAACTGATGGCCTTGTTGTGCCATATGCATCCAAAGTTGTGAGTGTGGTTCGCCTCATTTTATGGCCAGTTTGTGTTCGTGGAAGTGAGTTTTCAAAAGTTTTCAAGTCGCATTTTCACCATCATTATTGAATATATATATATATATATATATATATATATATATATATATATATATGGAATACTCTAACAAATACTTTAACACCCTCATACTGTTACCAACTTTTTCCATTCATGACCATACCCAGCACATTAGAAGTGTATTGTAATAATGCCTATTATATATTTTCACTCAAATGTATATGCCGCAAGTGTGATTCTGCAACTATTAACAAAGAAATAGAGCACAAGTGCAAAAGAGTGACAAAATTGCAATCAAATAAGTTTACAGTATTGTAATAGGATTTTGCCTAGATTTGCTGATCCATAAGCTACTATAATGGTTTCCATTAGGCTGAATCAAGATTTAATCAAGCTCTTTGAAATCAATTACATTTATGATTAAGCCTGAATCCAACAATGTTACAATCATTTAGTTTTCATCTTTCATATTGTAAAATATTTGTCATTTGGACACAATTTTCTTTGAACATACATTAATAATAATTTAAAAAATAAGTATTTCCTCATTGCTATGGAATGAAAGATCAATTAAAGCTGTAAAAATCATGAATCATTTTCTAACTCCCATCATTGCAATATCTTATATCTCTTATCCTCTACTCCAAGTAATAATACAATTTATAGTACAACACATACAGAGATATCCCATTAATTTGTGTTGCCTTAAATATATTCATAGAGAGTCTGGTGTAGTGGTTAAAAGCACTAAGTTAGAAATTGGGGAGTATGAATTCTAGCAGTGACTTAGGCACAAAGGCAGGTGGGTAGCCTTGGGCCAACCATTCTCTCTGAGTCCTAGGAAGAAGACAATGGGAAACCCTTTCTGAAAATGTTGCTAATAAAGCGGCAAGGCTTGTCTAATTCTCAGCAGTCAAGAGTAGCTCTAAAGTACACAGGCATACACAGAAACACTATTCCTAAGCACAGAAGAAAAGTGCTTCTTTATCATTTTGTATTGAAAGTATTAATTTAATTTAAAATGAAAATAGAAGAGGCCTAATTTGAGGATGATAATGTTGAGGTGAAGCAGATAGCTCATGAGAGGCAGAAGAGTCTGTAAGAACACACCTTAAAGGCTATTGATCCTCCTGTTTGCTGTTTACTGACTACAAAACAACATTATCGTGCCAGTTCTTACAGGTATTGATTATTGCCATAATCTCCTTCAAAGCAAGATCATCTTCCCTGATCTAAAAGCATGTTATTAGCCTTTTCAGAGAAGAGGAAGGGGAAGATATGTTGGTTCTCTTGAGAATCCAGGCAGTGGCACTAGAGAAGAAACATTGCCTGGATTCTCAGAACTACCCACATAAGAGAATGATGTCAGAGTTGGGGAAAGGTCTAAAAAAGAAGCAACAGAACAGGTGTTACTGGAGAAATAACAGTCTTTTTGCAGCTTCCCTTACAACTCCAAAGCACATGTTTATTCTTGGTTCTGTTCTCCTGGTCTCCTTTATGTAGATGCAGCTTCCAGTAGTAAGTACTACACTTCTTAGCTAAGTTTCATTGGTATGTGGGACCTGTGAATCTGACACATAAAAATGTTTCTGCGTGTTGTTTATTTCTTTTTTTGAAGAAATTGAAATCTCTCAGTGATGGTGATGGAAAGAACCGATGTAACCTGCTAGAGTACAGTATGTAGGAGAGCTCTACTGGAGCAACTATAAGGCCTGCCTGAATCTATTATGGCTAGCCAGATGCTTCTTGAAATGCCCATAGTTAGACTTCTGCAAATCCACTGTAACTTAAGTTCTCAGTGTTAGGCAGGTTACTCTTACCGTTGTTATACTGTATTTGCTTTGGCTGAGCTGGAGACTATATCCTAAATAACCTCTTACAAATTGTTTTTCTGTGTCCCAGGAAAGATGACATTTTAGTGGGTGCCCCCCTTTTCATGGAGCGCCGCTCAGATGGGAAACTCTATGAAGTGGGAAGAGTTTATTTATACCTACAGCGGAAGAGCCCACGCCCTTACAGAACCCCTTGGCAGAAGTTGACTGGCAAAGATACCTATGGCCGTTTTGGCATGGCTATTGCTCCTTTGGGTGATATAGATCAGGATGGCTACATTGGTAAGAAGAAGTGGATGGGAAATAGGGAAGAAAGCAATCTGGAAAATCCCAGTGTTGTATCTCTGTTCAGCTACCTCCCACTGTTGAAAGAGAGACCACTGTATCATCACATGAACCAGGATTCATTGTGGCTGAGTCTAGATGCCCATAGATGACTTATAGATGTTTTAAATATTTAAACATTGCCCAGAGTTGCCTTGAGGTAAGATGGGCAGCCTATAAATTTTACACATGAACAAACATTGGCCCCTGTCTTAGAATAGTTTAGATGGTAATAAGTATGCATTTGAGGTTGTAAAGAGGCTCCATTCTTCGTTACAGCATACCTTTTCAAAGATCCACCTGAAAGTAACCTTAGTCATCTGCAGTTTCTTTTCACCACCCTATTAGTATCCATATCTATTGGTCTCTTACAACCTAAATTTGGAGAATACTCAGTTTAATCTTCTGTCTTCCTAATGCTTGAAGTTGGTGTCATCATCCATCTGCACCTGTCCATGGCACAAACACTCATTTATTGTTACAAATAATACAAAAACCTATCCTGGCAATGTGGTTGTTGTTTTGTCATGTCTTTATGATTTTGTCTTCATCTATTCTCTAGCCCTTAGGTGAGGCAGACTTAAGGCATCATTCGTTGTGCTGGGGTTAAACTAGAGTATCCAATAACAGCTACAAGTGTGTAAAACCTGCTAGGCTTTGTCACTTAGTTGGTGAGTGAGATCAGAAAGGTTTTTGATCTCTGGCCAGTCCATCTGTTGCTGTTCTGCTGTGTCTCAGAGTTAGACACACTGGATGCACTAGTGAAATATCAGAATTGTGCAATGCCAAATATCAAAATTGTGCAATGCCATCAGCTGCTCAGCTGGCTGTTCTGTACATGCTTTAATTTGATAGTCTTCGCTGGCTTAGTGGAAGGTTGATGGACCAACCCTTTGCCCCTCTTTGCTTCTTGAGAACAGCGAGGAATCTGAAAGTCAGTATTAATTGCCTGCATTGGAAAGGAAAGGAAAGGAAAGGAAAGGAAAGGAAGAAAAGAAAAGAAAAGGGAAATCCTGAGTAAAAATAAGATTAAGCTACCTTTTTGACACTAATCTGTTATTAGTTTCACTTTATTTAATTTGGGTTATGAGCAAAATGAGTGTATGAAAAGGGGCACCAAAAGTTCTGGATATTCATAATCAAAACAGCACTGTTTGGCAATGAGTTAGAGCAGAAGTAATAAGGGCAGGATAGGGATTGGCAATGGGGGTACCACGTTTTCTGCCTAAAAATTGAAGGAAATCAGTTTAATTCAGCATTGGAAAATACCCTTTGTATTGCTTTTCTTTTGGCTTTTTCACCTTGTTTCCCCATTATATTTGCCATTATATTCTGTTTCCACAGACATAGCTATAGGAGCACCCTTTGCAGGCCAAGATGGAGGTGGCCAGGTTTACATCTACCTTGGACACAGTGAAGGATTGAGTGCATCTCCAAGCCAGATCCTCAAGAGTCCCTTTTCTGAAACTGCTGGTTTTGGCTTTGCCATCCGTGGAGCCTCTGACATAGATCTTAACGGTTATCCTGGTAATACAATATTTTGTTATATCATATGCTTTGCCTAATCTATTTGAACCAAAGTAGAACAATGCTGAAGTTTCCCAAGAGTTTTGTTTTGATCTAAACCAGATTTCCTCTAGTATGGCCCTTTTAAATGCATATCATGATGACTTCCAGCATCAGCATCATTGTTATCATCATCATCATTATCATCATTTAACATATGATGAAAACATGACAAAAAAAGTAAACATATATACACAATCCACATAATTATATTCAAAACATCTACAGGGGGTATGGCAATGGCCTCATAACTGGATGTCCAGTTCAGTTACCCAGCGATCCTCTCTGGTTTTGCTTCATGTAGATCTTCTAAAGAACCAGAGAATGCATGTCATGGGCAGTCTTGCAAAATATGTTTAATATTTTGTATATCAGCACCACAATCACATAATTCCATAATTCCAAACTAGCATGACTTTTGATCTTGTAGACTAGAAACCATAAAACAGACCAATGTAGGAGAACTTTGTTAAGGAAAGACTAATTTATGCCATAGGTAGATTGAAAAAAATATTTTAATTAGTCAAAGATATGAATATATGCAAAATCCTGTGATTTTTACTAGGAAAGCTTAGACTGACTGCTATTCTTTTCAGTGGAATGGGTAGCACTGAGCCTCAGAACAATGGCTGATGGAATGTTGCATCCTTAATGAATGCCCTGTTTTTTATCTTGTTCTTCACACCCAGATGTGCTAGTTGGTGCTTTCAGGATCAACAAGGTGGCTGTATACAGGTGAGTGAATGTGGCCAAGACCTTTGAGTCTCATAATATGAAGTGCAGCTACCTGTCAGTGCTTTTTTTTCTGAAATTTGTGACATCATCTTTCTGTTCCAAGAACCATCACATGTTCTTTCAAGAGCCCCCACTTTTTAGTGAAACACACTGGATACTTGTGAAAACTAGTGCTGAAAGGGTTGCCAGGAATTTGTACCAATTGGTTTAGTGTTGGGACTAGAAAATGTCTGGAAAATGGCAAAATGTCTTCATTTTGACATGTTTTATTTTTATTTTTACTTAACAAATGCCATAAATTTATACATGAAGATGAAATTGTATATGAAGAAAAAGAAATCAAGGAACTATTGAAAAGGCAAATAGGTACCTAAAATGTCTTATTTAATGTTGATTTTTTTTGCTTAGCCAAATTTAGAAATATAGAATTGTAAACAATTCTATATTGTAAACAATATAGGGTTTTGTTATATCCCATTGATTTTGGGGACGTTGAATTTATGAATAATCTACAATTTTGCCATAGGAAACTCTAAATTAAATTATAAATAGGTCAGTTTCCTAAGCAAAACTTATAGAGTTATGGTGATTGTTGTTCTTACTTTGCAAATAGAATTGTTGGGTTTGCACTTTGACAAGTTTGGTGATTGTGAAAAGACAACTTATTGAGCAAACAAATAGTTGTAAGCAGTAGTGATCTATTACCTGTATGTCTTGGAAAATCTCTTAGCATTTTTTTTCCATCTTGTGCCCAGAACTAAATAATTTCTTCTTTTGACTAAAACCAAGTCTATAAAAGCTATTCTCTATACTTGGGTAAGTGAAAAGTTAATCTTATGATTAAGGATTATAACTAGTTAGAGGCCACCCAAATCTTTTATATTGCATTATAATTTTGCATATAACTTAGTATCAAACTTCACAAAAGTATATACTGGCATTCTCCAACCTGAAGGCTTTCATATATGATAGGAATTGTACAATTCTTGTTTCCACTTACACAGAAGCCCTTTGGCTGAGAAACGTTGATATATACCCAAGTCAGAGTAGCTCCACTCAGAGGAAGGTCTGTGATGTGATGCAATTCTTGGCTCTAGAACTTCTTTCTTTAATGCAGTATCTTCTAATGGGTTGATGTATTGTTCTATAGAAAGACACTACAGAAGATCATAAAATTGGAGGAAGCTGGCCCAGGGCATGGATGCTGTTGAATTAACTAGTTAAAGGCAGAACATTTTATTGTAGAGAAATTTTACCCATCCATCAGCATATGTCCATGACTAGAAATTTTGGGAAAGTCCTTTGTCTCATTCACCGAGGATGAATAAGGGGATCATTTAGTCAGCATTTATCTCAGCTGCATATGCACATCTGTAATGTTTGTCTTCCTTAGAGCTCAGCCAATGATTATACTCAAAGCCCACCTTTCCATACCTGATGTGCTTGATTCAGAGAAGAAAACATGTCCAGGAAAACAGGCTAGCTGGTAAGCATAGTGGGAAACGCATCCATGTTATTATAAATAATTAAGCATGGTCCCATGGATTATGTGCTTTGCTCAACACCTGAGCCTACCCACTGAATTTTCTTTCCTAGTAGAAAATCAAGAGTGGCAGGGTTAATTTCTTTGGAGGTATCTTTTCCCTAACTGGTATTCTCCAGATATATTGGGACCTCAAGTCCCAGAATTCCCAGCTAGCTGCGAGAAAATGACTAAGAAAAATAGCCATTATATTTCAGCATTTCTAGCTGGCACCAATTGTGAGAAGGCTGGTTAGATGTATTCATTAAAAAAAAGATATTCTCTAACATGCTAAGAAATGGAGAATGCTAAGCCAGCCCTGCCCCCAGAGATGGAAATATTAAAAAGAATATTATATTTCCTCAAAGGATCTTTAAAAGGCAGAAAAGCATGCTCAGTTTTTCTTAATAGCCCCAAGTCTCCCTCCCCCAAGCAGAAACCAGCTCTGTAGAAATGCAGATATCATAATCCTTTCAGAAAGATTGGAGCCAGGAAACTGATGAAATTAGAAAGACAAAAATCCCTAGAATCAAAAACCCCTCACCCAAGAAATCCAACACAGGAAGTAAGCCATCAGCCACTGCCCCAGAGAAGCAGTATATGACCTTTGGGACATAATAGAATTAGCCCACCACCATCAGAATACCAGAAAGGCATACTGAACCTCAGGTCGAAGTTCATGCCAAGGAACAACTCCAAACACAAAAGTCCAAGAAGGTATAAAAACCCACCACTCCCTGCTCCATGTGGTCAGCTTTCCCAGAGCCACGTTTCTGTCTGGCTCTGTTCTTCAATAAACTACAACCATCATTCTAAAGCAGTCTCCATTTTGTTTATTCCCAGCTTGGACTGGACTCTGATGAAGATTTTTCTTTCAACAATAACATAGGATATGAAGTCTAGCCAATAAGTCAGAATAATCAAAAACACAAAACTAGTTGGAGTTTTCAGAAATCTTTGCCATTTGGCACTGTCCCACTGTTTGATTATAGTTACCTTCTTTCTATTAAAAATGTGAATATGTGGGGGGCAGATAAAAAGGATTTACTATGTATTCCTTCTTTGTTTATTAGTTTGCCTGGTGTGTGTCTAAGATGCTAATCTGAGATCACTTCTTTCTGCCTTTCTTCCCAAGCACAAAGCACATGTTCTAGACTTTACTTGTATCTATAATATATTTCTTGTAATCAAATAATCTTTCTGGTATATTGTAGTTATAAAATTTGTTTCGCTAATTATTGTTCAGGTCAAATTCCCACTTTCTACAAGCACAAAACACTTCAATATCTTTAAATTCATGAACTGAAATGTATAATAAGATTTGCAACTGTACAGGTGGGATTCAGAAAGGTAGGTTCTATGGTTAGTTATTTGCCAGTTGGGTATATGCTGTTTGATCTATGAAATGAGCCTCATTTTCTTTTTCCTTATCAATGTAGCTTCAACATTCAGATGTGTGTAGGAATGTCGGGAAAGAACATTCCATCAGAAATTGGTGAGTGTTGAATCAGTAATTTGGAAGAACAGAGGCCATTGTAGTTATGATCATTTACATAGATATCAAGAGGGATGAGATAAAAATCCAGACAGTGTGAATTCTGAGGTTTCAGGGTTCTCCCAGGTGAAAGATTTTTCAGAAACTTGGAAGTAATACCCTACAATGGTGTTTCTCCAGCTTAGCAACTTTAAAGTATGTAGATGTCAAATCCCAGAATTCCCTAGCCACCCAGGTTGATTAGGGATTTCCCAACAATTGAAACCCATACATCTTAAAGTTGCCAAGATTGAGAAACACTGCTGTAGAGATAGTATTGCACACAACACATTTTTTTTATTATACAGAGTCTCTGATGAGGCAGGATTAATAAAATTCATTAGTTCCTTAAGCAATATTTGTAGAAAGATAAGAACTAGTTCTCCTGAGACAGTTAACAAATGTGTGCAGCTTTACCTGATTGCCACAGTTTTTGTTTCTATGATGAGAAATTTTGGAATTTAATTTTTAATATGTACATGAAAACATGGTTATTTATTAACATATCAGCATGCCTAGCATTTCAGAAAGAAAAAAACCTGGATGAAACTCTGTTTCTTAACTCAGCTGTGCCAGAAATGAAATTAACTAGTCCAAAAAAGTATTTTGCTGATTTCTTTGAGAAAGTAGCTGAAAGTAAGAAATGAGTTATTAACTCATGTTTCCCACCTATTCACCAAGAGGTACTTTCCACATTTGTTTATTTAGATATGAAAACTACTGATTCTATTTTGGTATTAGTGGTTATAGTAAATGGGGGAAGGATCTTAATCTAATGCCCCATAGAATGCTGGATCAACTCCCATTAATCCTAAACAGCACAATATTGCTGTCAAGTTAGATACAAGTGTACAGTTTTTCCATTAAACATTCCTAAATTTTCTGAATTCTCACATAGTATTAACAAAGAACATACAGTAAGTCTGGACTATAAAAACACTGCAGATGTTTGACTCAAAAGTCTTTTCTTGTACAATAGAAGACAAGAATTTGGTACGGTATTCTAGTTATCAATATATATATTGTAGATTGAGAATTGTCTATTAATCTTCATCACCATCATGTTGTTTTTTGCCTGTTTCCTTGTGTCTGCTAGAATTAAATACAGAGTTACAGCTGGACCATATGAAGCACAAATTTGGGAGGCGGGTTTTTTTGCAGCAAACCAACCAACCAAGTCAGATATTCCAACTGAAACTATCCAGAAAAATTCCCCTGACCTGTAAGAATGTCACAGTTTACTTACGGGTAGGTATCTCAGGCATCAAAAGCGTGTCTTTGTTTCTGTGTGCATGTGTTTGGAATAGTAAGGAATGGTTGAGCAATAGGTTCTGCTTTACTTTGGAAATTATGTTCAGCTTTGAAAGTTGCAGCCCAAGATTTGCAGGGAAACAAAGAAGAATGCTGAGTGGGTTTTCCCTTCTCTACTTTGGGAGCTACCAAGGCCACCTTCTTATGTTTGAACTTTTAATCTGTCATTTTACAAATCTGGTCTTGGAAGTTTGGGCCCTTTTGTGGTACTTTCCTGTCTTGGAATAAAATTCTTTATGCTACTGTATCAATATCAATATCCTCACTCCTTCAGAAGAGGAGAATAATTTCCAGATGTGAATGTACTACAAATCTCAGCAGCCACAGTCAGGAAACATGACTAATGGCAGGGGATTTTAAGTGTCATAGTTCAATAAAAACTAGACAATTTCTATTCTTTTTTTTCTAGGAAATTTGGTTGGTATCTTAGCTTTTGGCAAAGCTCCTGCATATTTTTCACTGCATAAATCAAAAACAATTTCATTATGGCTATTATGTTAGCCTAAATAATGCAGAGATTAACCATTCCATGATGATGTTGAACCTGTGAGGAAATTTGAAATTGGGAGAGTGTTTCCTGCTCTTAGAATTATAGAGATGAGAAACAGTGTTATGAATATTAGAGTTACTGCCTTTTTGTTTTGGCAGGACTTTTGTGTCTTTCAGTTTGATAAGTACTACTGAATTCTTTTGTGTCTCTAGAAATTTCTCTTTGCTGAGATGAGAATTTGTGACTTCTAGAAAATCAAAAGTTCCCCACTTCTGTGTTAGAGTTACAAAACTTTCAGAAAGATGTAATTTAAGCACATATTTTCCAACTGGATGTCCTCCAGATTTGTCAGATTACAGCTCCAAACTTGCTAGATGGAGATGATGGAGTTGTAGTCCCATATATGTGGAAGGTGCGCAGCTGGGAAAAACTTACCCCATGGGATCTGTAAACTGTTTTTTACATACACTCCTTCCCAGGATCAAGCTGATTTCAAAGACAAACTGAGTGCCATTGTTGTGAGCCTCAACTTCAGTTTGGCATCCTTCTCCAGAGCTGGAATTCTGCAGCCTATTCTCTCTGGCCAATTGATTGTCCAGGAACAGGTAAGACTTCTTTCTTCTTCAGCTGAAAGCAAGTGCACTGGGAACTACCACATTCTGCTTATAAGATTGGTTTTTAATTTTATATTGTGATTATTATTTTGATATGTGGTTTGCTTGCTTGTTTGCTTGTCTGAATGCTTGTTGAACATAGGGTTTATCTCTAAAATAAGTGTTTCCAAAGAGGTGGCTTTGGTAAACATAGCCTATGCATGCCCAAGAATAAGTCTGAGTAGATGGAATATTCCTCTTCCAGAACTGCATGCAAATTGTAGATCACAGACAATAATAAATTGTTTAGTCTTAAGGTGCCATGAGACTTTTGTTGCTGCTATTACTAAAGTAAATAATTTTGAATTATTTAGCTAGCTGCTGTTTATAGAAAGACTGGAGCAGTCCCTTCTGGACTTGGATTCAAGCTATTTGATTAGAGGTGATGTATGTCACGTGGAAAAGAAATGGGTTTTGTACATAAAAGGTTTGCAGACTGAGGGCCCTAATGGATTTAAATGCAACTTCGGAGCCATCAAAGTTGCCACCAAATGATATTTTTTATGTGAAAGAATGGGAAAAATGATTGAGTAGAAGGGATATAGTCATATTAATTGTAAACATAAATATAATGTTAATTCAGTTCAAAAGGAGATTAATCTAAATTAGATGTAGTTTTTGTCTGGCTTCATTCACTTATTTATTACAAAATTATCTTATTTAAGAGATGGGCAATTGCAAAGGTATGTAGTTAACTGGACTTGGTGAGAGGTTCTGCATGCTCTGAACTTTCTATTTCATATCTGGTATCTTCGTATCTGTAGATTGAAGGGATTTTTCTTATGTATTCCTTAACTAGGAATACCATGGAATAACATGGACTGTGTATATAGCAGTCCATATACGCCTCCAAATTATATTTGCTATTCATTCAATGATAGCTGTTTAGGTTTCCTCTTATCCACAGACCCGCATCATTCTAGACTGTGGAGAAGACAACATCTGCATTCCAGATCTCAAACTCTCTGCTCACACGTAAGCATCAATAGCTTAGGCTGGGTTGGCCACAATTGCTGAGGGGTGAGAAAAAAGCATAGTAATATGCTGATAATGTTTGTAATTTTTCTAGGTCTTTTATTATTTATTTTATTAATCAAATTTACGTGGCTGCCCATTTTACAGAAAGCAATTCTGGGCAACCATCTTTTGTAGGACTTCCATAAATCTCCAATAGTAAAACATGTCATTAAATTGCAGAGATGATCTATAGTTTATAGTAAGGACAAAGGTCACCATAACTAAATGTTTATTATTATTTTTAAAAATAGTTTTATTAGTTCATTTTTAAATAAGCATATGTAATACAAAATGAACAATTCACCTCAAGCAAAGAAAATGAAAACACAACAAAAGAAAATAATAGAAACAAGAAATTACAAACATATTCCAAGTTCATCTGAGGTCTTTAAAAGGAGACACTAAGCTTTCATGTTCATCAAGCCCAATATTTTTTTTCAAAGGGAGAAATAATGTGACATTTTTCTAATTGACAGAATATATAATTTTGTCAAGAATTGCTAAATCATACATCTCTGGAATCCAGTCCATTATATCTGGGGTCATAGCATTATTTCCATATCATAAATATTATGATACCATAAATATAGTATTTTTCCTTCTGCTAATTCCTTTTTGCTATTCCTGGTGCACAAAAAATCATCTTTGTTCAGAACATACTAAATTCCAAGTACAATATGAATGTCTTTAAAAACCAATGCTTTCCCAATCTATAATCATATTGTACAATATTACTCCAAAAGGAGTATAATGAAGAACATGACCATAACATTAAAGTGCCAGAAATTTGTCAGTGAATATGATACTTATAGTTTCAATTAACATTAAGTAAATGTTAAGACATTGCAAGAAAAATATGTTTAATCTGGTTGAGACAGATCTTTAATACAAAGTAGACATGCAAAAAATGTTGCTGGATTTTGCATCTTCCTTTTCTTTCAGACAGTTCAAGAATCATATGCCATTCATTTTTTTTAAATGAATAAAGAAAGGTAGTCAGATATCAATGAGTGGGAAGGCAAAATATGTCCTTTCTAATCCAGCAAAATGTTTCAACTTCCACCGGTCTTCCAGTTGACCTTGGTGCAGTGGTGGGATTCAGCCAGTTCGCACCACTTTGGCAGAACCGGTAGCTATTTTTTTGTTGCCCAGGCCCAGAACGGACTTCCGAAAGCAGCATCCACACTGAGAACCAGTTGTTCGCATATTTGAATCCCACCACTGCCTTGGTGCATACTCAAACCTCAACCAACAATTTTGCCTTGCCAATTGCAATATTCTAATTACTGATGCAGAAGAATAATGCAGCCATTATTTAGTAATCTTTCTTTTCTATGTTTTTATGTCTCAGGAATGAAGCTTTCCTGCTTGTTGGGGCTGAGAATGTGGTTCTCATCCATATTACAGCAACAAATGCTGGAGAAGGAGCCTATGAAACTGAGTTAGTGGTGGAGCTGCCATTTGGGGCTTACTTCCAAAGAGCTAACAGCAGTGCACAGGTGAGGTCAGATACAGTTGTTGAATTTTAGCTTCCAGCATCAGTCACTACTGAGTATTTTGGCTAAAGTTGCTATGTATTGTAGTTCAGGAATATCTGAAGTCCAATTTACCCAGTACGGAAAAACGATTTTGTCATTGTGGCTATACACTGACAGAAAATTCAGTCTTGTAGTTTTTTATGCCTCTTTAGGAACAGAGCCAAGAAAAACAAATGTTTTCACCTCCTTTTTATTCCATTCTTAAAAGTGTGTTTTAAATATTATTTCCAAAAAATATTTACATTTTCTTGCTTCTTGTGATCACAGGTCAACCCTGAGTTGACTGGAAGCTCAGATTCACCAAACTTGATCATCATGTTGATCATCCTCCCCCTCGGAGGGAGGTGAATGGTTAAGAAATAGGAAATATAAATAAATAAAAATAAATAAATTTGGATATGCTAAATTATCTGCAATACATTTGGTTGAAATCAATTGCTGCATATTAAAAAACTGTGCTGTATAACAATGCTCAGTCTCTAGGGTTGTCAAACTGCTGGCCTGTGGGCCGGCTGCATCATACAGAGGCCATGCCCACCCCAGCTCCGGCAATGCAAAAAAAAGTCACGATACGTCACGACACATCACGTGATGTGGCAAGTTTGACACCTGTGCTCTAGATTGTGAGTATAACCACACTGAAAGTCTCTTTGGGTTATACTGCTATATTTGCAAGTATCTTAATTCAAAACCATCTAGGATTTTTTTTGCAGCTGGATACCACACATGGCGGTTGGACTAGATCAGGACGTTTCAACCGGTGGTACGCGTACCACTGGTGGTACGCGACCACCTGGCTGGTGGTACGTGGCGTCACCTTCCTTCCCCCCTGGTCCTTCCCAGATCACTTGTTTGTGGAAAACATGCTGCTTGGCGGCAGCCTGCACAAACCCTACCGAACGTGCCCTGCAGAGTACGCGCAAAGAGTGCAGGTGCAGAGCAAGGCCCCACCCTCCCCAGGGACTCATTGTGCAGCAACCGGATTGACTTCTTCTCATGCACGCAGGTCAGCAGGATCTGTATCGCCCTTCCCCTCCCTCTTCTTACTTCACAACAAGCGCTAGCCTAATATCCCCTTCCGGGTTGGGAGAAGCACACGCCGTTGCCTGTATCGCAGGCTTAAAGTCTGAAACAGCCGGGCTCTTGGCTGACTGATCGCCTTTCTCCCCCCCTCAACTTTTCTACAAACCGGGAATCGTGGCTTAGTGTGGGCTTGGAGCGGGTCTCGCGGTGCCCGTGCACCCCTTGGATCAGACAAGTGAGCGATCGACTTTAGCCTTTGGGGAACAAAAGCCGGTCGGGGCTGATCTCTTCCTGCCCAGGAAGGCTGGAGAAGCTAGGAGAAAGTCAATTATTAGAGGGGGGGGGAAGTCACTTCTTCATTTAAGGCAGTTTTGGAAAAGTAACTTTTGCTGGAAAGGAAAGCAGATTTTTTTTCCCCTTTTCTTGGATCACCTTCTTTGCTTGGCCCTCTGTTGCCTGTATTGCAGGCTTAAAGTCTGAAACAGCCGTGCTCTTGGCTAACTGGTCGCCTTTCTCTTTTCGGGAGATGCACCTTTGCAGCGGGTTTCCCCTTCTGTTAATTATTGGAGGTTTGAAAGGCAAGCTGCTCCCAAATGGCGAGAGTGACGCAGTTCTCTGACTCTCTGCTTCAGGGGGAAAATTTTGGGGAAAAATGACTGGGAGAAGTAGCCAGTTTGTAACATACGTGCCTGAAAATGGGAGGTGAACTGGCCACATCCCCGCCCTGCCTGTGTGCTCTCCTCTGCTTCTGCACACGCACAGGCAGGGCCGTGATGTGTTGCTGCCTGCCAAAACCAGGCTGGGGTCTGGGCAGCATAGCACAGGATGAAGGAATAGAAGGAGGAAGGGACAAAGGGGGAAGTGAAGGAAAGAAGGAAGGAAGGGACAATGGGAGAGAAGGGAGGGAAGGAGGAAGGGATAAAGAGGGAGGTGAAGGAAAGGAAGGAAGGAAGGGACAATGGGAAAGAGGGAGGGAAGGAGGAAGGGACAAAGGGAGGTGAAGAAAAGGAAAGAAGGAAGGGACAATAGGAAAGAGGGAGGGAAGGAGGAAGGGACAAAGGGAGGTGAAGGAAAGGAAGAAAAAAAGGAAGGAAGGGACAATGGGAGGGAAAGACGGCAGGAACCCGCCCCAGTCGCATCCCCCCTTCACCAGAGATCCACGGATTCCCCCCCACAGGCACCCTGCAAGCTGAGTGATCAGCTGGCCACACACCCCCGCCATTGATCACATGGCCCTGGGACACTGTGAACGTCATAAGTATGAATCAGTTGCCAAGCAATCCGAATGTAAATCACAAGACCCTGGGGATGCTGCAATAGTCATAAGTGTGAAAAATGGTCATAATTCGCTTGTAACTTCAAATAGTCACAAAGTGAATTGTTGTAAGTCGAGGACTACTTGTACTTTCTCATTTTTTCCTTTTTTTTTTTTTTTTGGTCAAGTTTTTGATACCTTGCTGGGCGAGTGTTGGTACTCGGATATTGCCTTATCCGAAAAGTGGTACAATGGGTAAAAAGGTTGAAAAGCCCTGGACTAGATGACCTCCAAGATCCCTTCCAACTTTATTATTATTATTATTATTATTATTGTTGTTGTTGTTGTTGTTGTGCATTATAAGTTTTTCTGAGATTTAACTTTCTTTGAATTTGATTTGTTTTGTGCTAAAAGCATGAGAAAATCTGCTACCATATATAACAAATTTAGTTTTGCTTCAAAAGGGGCTCTGATGACCTAGAGACAATCTTTCCAGTTGAATAGCAATAGTATGAAAATCCTTTCATTCATTTTGTCATACTGCTCATTCAGTCTTCCAAGGTTAAGTATACTTAAACACACTCCATCCCTTTTGCCTGCAGAAACTGATCTGTAATTTCCGCAAGGAAAATGAAACCCGATTGGTGGCTTGTGAAGTGGGCAACCCAATGAAATCCCATACAGAGGTAGGGGATACATTTCTAAAATGAACTTGTTTTCAAGTTTGCTCTGAAGTCTGAAAAAGTAGCAAAAATCTAGAAAGGAATGGAAAATGTTTTTCTCCAAATTATACTACATTTCCTTTAACTTGGTAAATAGAGCTGAATGGGATCTAAACAAAACTAATGTTTTTTCCACCAATGCATGACACTTTTATTTTTTGCATATAAACAGAATAGAATTGTTACTAATATCTTTTGATTAATACATACAAAGGCAGTTACTAAATTCTATTCTAAATTCTAAAATCCTAGTAAGCAGGATTATTGTCACATGACTTATCTGATTCATATTATATCACAAATCCACAGTCTAGCATTTACAGGCACATAGATAAATTATTGAGAAATTGTAGCAGAAAGCAAACCATTGACATCAAACAGCATCCTAGGTTGTTACAAAGTATTTTCTTAATCTATTGGTCTTAAGCTCTCCTCTACTCCCTGATTTCAATATGGTCATTCTTACTTTTTTTCTTGCCCCTTATTATTTGCAGATCAAATTGGATTTGGAACTAAGTATCAGCCAGTTAGAAGATGCCAATAATAGCATTGTCTTTGTGCTTCAACTAAAGAGGTAACATTCAATCAGGCCTCACTGGCTTAATCTCTGAAATCAATTTCTCTTTTTTAACCTGGAGCTTCCCAAATGAATTACAACTTCTGGATTCCAAGCCATTATCATCCAACACATTTCCATGGAAATTGTAATCCTGGTAGATTTGGTGGTGCTAGACTGGGGACTGCTATTGTACCAGCGTCCTTCAGCATTCTCCAACCAAAAGGCAGAAAAACAAACCTATATTTGTTTTATCTATTTTTATTTTATTAAAAAAAGTTAAAATTCAAAACTTCAAAAAATTTGAACAGAAACAAACAAAAATAACACACAAAACAAGCAAGACATTGAAAAAAGTGCATTAAAAATACAAGAACCCATATATACATATTATCCTCCTCCAAGATAGCTGCTGAATGGTAAGTACTTTTCTTTTTCCTGCTGATGATATACTGATTTTGCTGCCAAAGATGATTCTTTGGCAAGGCTGCTCCCTGGATTTGAATGGGAGCATTTATAAACGGCCCAAAATGGCTTTTGGATGGCCGTAAACCCTCCTGGAAAGAAGAATCTTTTTTTAAGTTTTTTTATTTATAATACAGTTAAAAAAGAAAACATTGGACATGATGTAACATTCCAGTATAAACATTTCTATCAAATTATTTCTCTTCTTACATTTAGTTCTTTATCTCCATAAATACAGATGTGTTATTTATACAATACTTAATTCATTTCTCTATTTGCTAGCCTAAGATTATATACATTTCTATCTTAACACTAATCTGTAACCCCAACAGTCCTCCTCAATTCCCACCAATAATAAAATTTGTCCCAGATTTCAAAGTATTCTGATCCACTCTTATCCTTCAGTTCCATCATAAGCCTGTCCATTTCAGCAAAAGATAGTATTTTATATAGTAACTCTTCCTCTGTGGGAGTTTCTTTGTTCTTCCATTTTTGTGCAAACGCCAGTCTAGCAGCAGTCAAGATGTGCAACATCAAATAGATTATCCCCTTGTCATATTTCTCTATGGTTATGCTCAATAAGAAAAGTTCAGGTTTTGAGAGCTTTCGGTGGATCAAGCAGCTACGATGGCTGCTTTTCACAAAGCAGCCAGTTCCTGGGTTGTGTAAAAGCCGCGGGACTTTGACAATCAGCTATCCCGCGGCTTGAATCTCTTCCCTGGGAGAAAGGGAAGAGAAGAGCGGCTCAGGTAGAGATAAGAGCTCCCCTGGATCCCCATAATTTCGGGGATCGGAGGGTAGAGCTCCCTCGGAGCCTGAGCCAACTCCGCACTCCAGGACGTCTTTGTCCCGAAGTTCTGGGATGAAGCAAGGCACCGCTCCCACATCTGCTTTTTTGGGAGGCTTGTGAGTATTTAAATGCAGACGGAGCAGACCAGGAGAAAGTGGATTTAAGATTGATTGTGACTTTAACTCCTGCAAGCATCTTCTCCGCCTTTTTTTTTTTGTTTACTTTCCCTTTTGAAGAAAGGGAAAGTGAAAGGCAAAATGGCGACTGTCTTTCTTGTTTGACTTTGCAACAAAATTAAAAGTTCATGTTTTAAATATAGAGGCAAGAATTTTGTTCTTCTTTTTCTTTGTTCTGCCCAGACGAGACTCGTGGCTCTGAATCTAATCTAAACAAACAGATAACTCGATAGAAATGAATTAAACAAACATTTATTTTCCAGGGATTCTAAGCAGAGACTTACTATGCTGTAGATGCATCTGGTTTTCCATATTTGTTCATTCCTATAGGTAATTTAATATTGAATTTTCCCCTCTTCTTCTGCTGAGAGTCACATGTTGGCAAAACACATGTGGCTGGATGAACAAAGGCTTCCATCTGGCTTGTGTCCAGGAAGTCTCCTAATGACCCTTTTTGACTCCTCCCACTGACCCATCAACATACCCAGCATTTAATCCAATAACTGCCAGATATTCTAACATACTAACACATGCTCCCTAGTTAGAGTTACGTAGGTCTATGCTAAGTCCAGAACACTCCCCGCTTGGAAATTTACATTTCCACTACTAACTAACTGAAATAGCAAAGAACATAGTGTTAAGGCATACAATACTCAAAGGTAACTAACTTGTGGCTAAATAGGTAAAAAACGTGATATAAAACATGCATAACTATAAAGTAATACAAAACATGCATGATTATGCTAAAAAGAATAAGCAAGTGTTACATCAAACAATCCATGGGACAACACATAATCTGAGGTTTGATCTTCTGGTTCGGTCTTCATCAGCAACGGGACCAAACGGTGATCAGCCTGGAACAAGTGTCTTTGAGTCACGCCCTGACTCACGTGGCTTCACGATCTGGACCTCAGCTGGGCAAACTAGTTCATAAAGTGGGTGGGCCTGGTGCGCAAGTCCCATGGGCCAATAGTTCTGGTACGCAGTCTTGTCTCTCAGTGAGACAAGGTTTTCTTCCTGTGAAGGAAACTGGAACCAAATCTGAAACAGAAAAAACTGGAACCCAAGCTTCGCAGGAACGAGGTGAACTGGATTCACAGGATACTCAGGAACTGAAAAACCTGGAAAGACATAAACAGCTGGATCTGGAAACACAGGAACAGCTGGAGCTGAAGAATCAGGATCAGGAACATCTGGAAACTCAGGAACAGCTGGAGCTGGAAACTCAGGAACAACTGAAGCTGGAGAGTCAGGAAAGACAGCTGGAACTGAAGAACCAGGAACAACAGCTGGAACTGAAGAGTCAGGAACAACAGCTTGAGCAGAAGACTCAGGATACTCAAGAACCGAAGGGTCTGGAACCACCGGTGGAGTATTGAAGAGGGCTACTACTGTTGCCCTCAGGGTGAGGACTTCATGTGTGGGTGTAGGTGTCTTTAATGACATGGAGTTCGTGAAAGTCAGTAAGTCCTTGCAGGCTTCTACAAGGCTAATTCTTGGGGTGCTGAGACAAGTGATCGAGACGATCAAAAGTATGCCTAATTTCAGTTTTCTCCGCTTAGACAGGGTTTTGAAGCGGATTGGTTGACGTTTACTGGGTGTTTGAGATTGAAGGTTGGCACTTTGATCTGAAGCTGGAAGTGCAGAACGTTTTGGTCTATGTGGCATCTATCTATTTGGACAGGCCAAGAACTGAAGACTTTCTAGCCAGATCAGTTCTGTTATCTGTGTGGCAAGATTGGGCCACTTCACTTGGTTAACAAAGTTCTTATTTGTTGGCACATGTTGCCATTGTTCAGGGCTTAAGGATGTTTCAGTCCTTTTCTCTCTGTTGCTTACATGAACGTAGAAGTGTCCGCTTTGTTTGCAGATGTAGCTTGACATCACCTTGCTGTCTGCGTAGAAGGTGGTGGACTGTAGTTCAAGGCGCAACGTCTTTGCTGTCAAGTTGGTCAGCTTTACAGTCAAAGTGGTGCCACATAGCTGTAACCTTGGTACAGTGTGGCCTTCTTGTATTGTTAGCCTCGCTTTCCCTAAGAAGACACTGAGACTGCAGCACCCCCCGTTGTAGACTCTGATGCATCTTATGGTTGCAAACAAGATAACGTAAGTGCGGCTCTCCCCGCTGTAGAGTGAGACGTATCTTAAGGCTGCAGTCACCTTCGTAGACACATCTAAGGAAGCATACAATTCTTTCTTCTGCACTGGGGCAGGTGAGCTGGAGACATATGTGCACTGCACTTGCATGCTTTGGAGACATTTTGGGAGTACGTTCCATGACTCCCAGTCTTGGGGACGTTGTTTGTCTTGTTTGTCCTTTATGGACAAAGCTAAGTTGTTGTAATTGTTGCTTGCCTGGAACACGGTTGCTTCCAAAACAGGTTTGGTTGTTACAAGCATGCAGTGTTGTTCTAGGCACGGTTGGAACACTGTAGCTACCAAAACAGGTTTGGTTGTCACAAGCATGCAGTGTTGTAATTGTGGTTTTATAGGGTTCAATGGGGTGGCAATGGTGGGGAGATCTCGTGACCTAAGTATCGCGACATCAACTCTGTGGCTGGCCGCTGCATTTGGTTGTTGAGATTCCTCTGCTCGCCTACTCGGTCTTGGGGGGCTTGTGGCTGGCTGTGGCGTTCTCACCTGTGCATTCTGAAATGCGCTTTGGTTGTCCATGTAGGTCTGTACGCGGCTACGACGCTCTTCATTTTCCAGTTGTTGCCTGTCTGGCAAGAAAGTGGTGTTCTGGAGTATTTTCTGAAGGCCTTCCGCTCTAGCCATTTTGTCTGCCATAACTCTTTGGCTTTGAGTAAGTTCAAGTTCTTCTTGGGCGTCTTTTCTTTTGGTCTTCATTTTAGCTGCTATAACCTTTCATTTGGCTTCCATTTGAGCTGCTTCAGCTTCTAGCTTGGCCTCTATTTCAGCTTCCTCAAGTTCTATGGCCGCCAACTCCTTCTTTCTCTGCCTCTCCTCTTGTGCCACACGAAAGACAGCTTCAGCAGCTTTAGCATCTATGATCATTTGTTTGATTTGTGAGATACGGGAGGTTCGGCTATGACGGGAAGATGCTTTCGAAAGGCGGGAGGCGCCTGTGACATGCGGTTGTTGGGACATGCTGGAATGTGCCTTGGATATGTGGCGGAAAGATGAGGCTGTTCCAGACACGTGGGATGGAGCCGCATGCGACTGTTGGGATGGTGTATGTGAATAGCGGGAGACTTCGGACTCGCCTCTTTCGGCCGGTCTGCTTTTCTGGCGAGGCTTGGGCTGTGGGGAACCCTGTGAGCTCTCTAGAAACTTCTTATGTTCCTTGTTTAGTACCTTGATGTTGTGCATCTCGCCATCAACTCTTGGGTCTCTTAATTGTTCCTGAATGTCCTTGAGTTGCCATTCAGAGTCCATCCATTGCTCAAGGGCATCTTCTTTATCTTCTTCCAATTCACTTGCCTGTACAGGGGAAAGCTCCTCCTGAGGCTCTTGGTAGAGTTAGAGTAGTTTCCTCCAGTGTCTTTCATGGCACTCGTAGTTTGACTCCCATCTTTCCATCAGATGTGAGTGCATGGCTGCTGTGGTCTGGTTGGTGTGTCTCA